GTGACTGGGGTAATAGGGATGGGTGTGTCAGAGGCGATGCGGTTGGCGCAGGATAGAGCAGGGTTTGGGGCTGTTGTGCATAGGGTCGCTATGAGTCGGAAACGACTCGACGGCACATAACAACAACCACAACTTTAAAAGCTAAAGGCTAATTGCACTGGGAAAATCAGCAGCCAGAGACCTCCTCAGTACTGAGAAGCATCACTGTCAGTCTAGAGACTAAGGTGCACTTGATCCAGCCATAGTCTTTGCAGTTACATGCTATGCATCAGAGAGCTGGACAGTGACTGACAATAATAGCTAAAGAATTGATGCCTTTGAGTTGTGGTGTTAGAGAAGAATATTGAACATACTATGGAATGCCAAGAGAACAAACAGGTCTGTCTTGGAGAGGGTGAAACCAAGTTTTTCCTTGGAGACTAGGATTTTGACACATCTCACATACTTTGGGCACATGTCCAGGAGGGACCAATCCTTAGAGAAGAACATCATGCTTGGAAGGGTGGAGGGACAGCAGGGAAGAAAGAACCTGGATGAGATGGATTGACACAGTAACTGGGGTTATGGGGGTAGGTGTATCAGAGTCAGTGAGACTGGTTCAGGATAGAGCAGGCTTCAAAGCTGCTGTACATAGGATCGCTATGAGTCGAGGTGACTTGATGGTATATAACAACAACAGCATGACTAAAATTGAAAAGGTGATATCAGATCATGTAAATATTGTCACCAGCTATGACAGCTAACGTTATCTTCTTTTATTCTCCTTCAGGTCAATTTTTCTGTGGAAATAAATGTTGTGAAGTAAAAGAAGGCTTAAAGAGTTGGGAAGTTAATTTTGGTTATATTGAACATGGTGAAAAGAGAAATGCTCTTGTTAAATTAAGTAAGTTGATGTTAGATGTAATGTGATTGATTTATCTAAAGTCCAGTTTATATGGAGCTCTGGTGGCCTAGTGGAAAGAAACTGCATTGCAATCCCAAAGTTCAGTTTATTTATATTTAGATTTAAAAGTACACAGATGATTGAAAATTTAATTCAAAATTTTAAGATACTTTCTTTGAAATTGGCTGTTTTCCTTAATACTTCTCAAAATCTCAAGAGTTTTTAGATAGAAAATTTTGGTGTTCTTGGCATTATAGTGATGTATAGATGAAATTGAACTTTAGTTGTCAAATATGAAGTGATGATTTGTGGAGTGAAGGTCTCATCAAATTACATGATTAAGTTGTAGAGTGTTCAGAGACCATGTAAAAATCTTAAATGAATGGGATATTTAGCTGTATTGTCATATAGATATTATGTAAATGTACTCTCTGGCATTGCCCATATAGAAGAAGAATGTAATTATTCATGTTATCACCCTTAAAAGCACAGGAATATTCCTCAGAATATGGCAGGCTTCCTTCATAAGTGTAGAAACTGGCTTTCCCTTTCTTTATTAAACTTGTACCTAATCTTAACTGACATAGTCATCACTTCCTCACCCCCATCATTAAATAACTGATGAGCTTCTTTGGGTGCTAAGTAAATATGCCCACAGAATGTTGCTTACTCTGGTTAGAAGTCTCTGGTTGTGTATTATAGGGAGCTATGCTGCTAGTCCAGTGGTGCTGATGGTTCTGAGGGACTAAGAGAGGCAATGTCTTCTGTATAATTTACAGCCTCAGAGAACTGCTGGAGGGTCAGCTATGAGCCTTTTCCAACTTGACAACAGTTGGAAATATGAATGAATATGAATGTGAGTGAGTGAGTAAATTAGAAATCAGGAATATCCCCACATATAACTTAGCTTATGGTTTTGTGTGCTATCGAGTTGGAACTAACTCATAGCTAACCCTCCAGCAGGTTTTTGGAGGCAGTAAATTGCATAGGAGTGTTCTCACTTCCTCCGGGAAATGCCTATGAGGAAAAAATGGTCAATATGAACTGAGGGTAAGGCATAAGAGAAGGCTGTGAGTGTTAATTGTGAGACTCTTTGGAAGCTTTTTTTTTATATGATAGTTTATAGAATACTTCAGAGAGAATTACCCACATATATTATTAGATCTTTGACATAAAGCACAATGTGAATGCTGCCTATGGAACATAGTTTGTTTTTAGCAAAAATTGACAGTATATTATGCCAATGTAATGTTAAAACTTTTCTAATTCCTCAAGCTTTCGAATATTGTTTTATTATATTAAATGCTTTTTTGAAATACAGAAATCAGATTGTTTTCTTTAGGTTATTTGCTTTGTCTCCTAAAGGAATATAAGGAAAATAAAGAGTTTATTACAGGAAGAGATTCAATAGTTATTCAAATTCAGCAATTCAGTAATGTCTTCTTTCTTTTTTTTTTTTAAGGATTATGCCAAGAATGTTCTGTTAAATTAAATTTTCACCACAGGTAACACTGTCTTAAAATGTCATACTTCATGTTTAGTATTTTAACATAATCCTTTTTATACTTTTTTACACCTTTCTAGTCCCAACGTCAGCATTATTGCCAACCCCTATTATTTCTTTTTAAACCAAGCAAAGTTAATTACTTGTGCATCATAGTACTGACAACTTGGGAGATTTGGTCCAACTTTAACAAAGTTATAGTGGGAAGTCAGTTGGTCTATATTAGGCCTATGCGATAATAACAGGCCCCTTCCATCTGCATTCCTTATACCTTTGCTTCATTCCTTTACTCTTTAGAGAAAAAATTTCTATTTATTGATAGCAGATTCTTCATGTTTTATCTGCTTTTTCAAAATATAGGTTAATGCTAATTATGTGGAGAGTAATGAAATTTGTCTTTTCTTTTCAGTGATTAAAGTGAAGGAACTGAAAAGGACATGAGTAAAATTATAATTTGTATCACATTTATATGTGGAACTTGTGAAAGAATTCTTTGTCTCAGAATGCTCAGGCTTCACTTCATTACCCTACAGAATTAATTAATATGCTGACTTAAATTGTTTATAGCCTCCTTTAAGAATTTCTTATTTGGCCATATTTCAGACAAGTTCTTTCACAGATCTTAGTTTTTACTTATTGGGGTATGTATGGTTTGTTGTGTTTTGGGGTTTGTTTTTTTTTATTTTTTATAAAGATCAATTGAAAAAGTTCATTTTGATTTTATATTGTTTGACATAAAGGAAAAAAGAAGTCAAGTTAAAAAACAGAAAGGATAAAACCAGAAAAGATTATGAACAGTCATCTCATAAAAAATCCAGATTACCTTCTGAAGAAGAAACTTCAAAAAAAAAGGATAAAGGTAAATAAAGATTAAGAATCTAACTTTTTATTTATGATCATTAAATACAATATGTCAAGTGTAAAATATAATTAATAAATGAATGTGTTTAAAGTTTCATATGCTTTATAGTTGATACTGTTTAGAAATGTGGATATGACTTTACAGCAGCTTAATGGAGCTCTGTGGAGCCCTTGATGACACAGTTGGTTAAGTGCTACTTAGTCAAAGGTTGGAGGGTGGAAAATAGGCCTGGTGATGCCTCCAAGAAGACAGGAGCATGGAGCCCACACGGAGCAGTTTCACTCTGCACACACAGGCTTCCAGGACTCTGAATCTACTCCTGGAAGCTAGTAACAACTAAATGCATCTAATAACAACAGAGGAGCTGTAAGAACAAGATTGTCATGGATTCATTTTGGGCAAGTGGCTAAAATTAAACAAAAATAACTTCTGGCTTTGTTCCTTAAAGACTTGTGACCTTGGGGAAGTCACTGAACTACTAGAATTTTACTTTTGTCTGATTTGTAGGGGGCTCCATATTCCACTAGTGTATTCAGGGAACTCAAACAAGACTTTGAAAGGCACTTTGAACAGTATTAAAAAAACATATATATAATCTTTATGTCAGTATAAAAGTATAATGCTATGATTTTCGTTTTGATGATTTATATGAATTCAGTACTAGCTTATGAACTTCTTGAAGTGAGAGAGATTGATTGTCTGTGTCCTCAGGACCTGGCATGATGCTATGCACATAGAATTAGTAAATAGTTCATATCCATGAGTAATCTACTGCCTGTTGTAGTTTACCATTGAGTTGGAACCAACTCATAGCTAACCCTCCAGTAGGTTCTCAGAGGCAGTAAATTGCCTAGAAGGAGACTGCCTATCTTCCTTCCATGGAATAGCTTGTGGATTCAAACCATGTATGTCTGGGTTAATAGTGCATTTCCTTATCTCTGTGCCACCAGAACTCTCTTAGTGATCCTTATGTTTTCCAAGCCTCAATTTCTTCACATGTAAAGTAATAAAAACAGTTCTTGCCTCCAAGTTGTTCAAAAGTTGAAATAATATAGTGCATGTAAGCATTTGCACAGTACCTGCCATGCAGTTAGCTAAGCTGAAGGTTAATTCTAGTTGCTTTTTTAGCTCATAAGAAAGTAGAGCCATATTGGGTGTAAGTTAGCAGGGGTTTAACAATAAATCAATAAGACTTAAAGTAGATAGAGAATGCAAGCTTAAATTAGAAACAGACCCGTGTTAATCTAATACTTGGACAAGAGAGGGCTCCCTTGCTCCAGCTATGGAGATAGTTAGGTATAGTCTATTCTCAAATGCATTTTTTCTTCTTGTGTGGTGGTAGGTATGTTAGAGACAATAAGGTTGGCACAGAATAGAGCAAGTTTCAGGGCTATTGTACATAGGGTTGCTATGAGTCACAAATGACTCAATGGCACAGAAACAGAAACAAATCATTCCTTATGTACTTAGTATTAAAATACTCCCATTTATATATAAATCCAGTTTTAACTTGGTAAAATCATATATGGAAAGGGTAAATTAATTGCTATTGTTCTTTATGGAGAAAGCTATTTAAAGCAAAATTCTATTTCAGAACTGAAACTCATTTCCGTGGAGTCAGTTCTGACTCACAGCGACCCTCCCTAGGGTTCCAGATGCCGTAGCTACAACAGGAGGACACTGCTCATCTCCTGCTTGAGCTGATGATAGATTCAGAAGCCTCTGTTTTAAACATTTCTCAATTCTCAAAGAAATTTTAATTTAAATCTCATTTGATCTTTTCTCTTTGGAATATATGGGCAGAACTTCATCCTTCAGGTTTCTACGTAGTGTCTTTGGAGAATCCTCCCTGACACCTTTAGTCCCACTCCAGACATGGCTAGGTTTCTGTTTCATATTTCCGTAGCACCTTGTACCTGCTCCTTTATAAATATCACCCTGGGAGAATGATAATTCAAATATACTCACCAACAGTGAAAGCCGTAGAGGAAGAAATGAAAAATTATTATCAAATTTTGCAATCTGAAGTTGACCAAACATACAGTCAAGATGTGTTAATGATCATTGGTGATTGGAATGCAAAAGTTGGAAACAATGACAGTAATTGGAAAATATAGACTTGGCAACACAAATGAAGCCAGAAGTAGAATGACTGAATTTTATACATGCAACGATTTATTCATCACAAATACCTTTTTTAAAAAACATAAAAAGCGACATTACACATAGACCCCCACCTGATGGACTACATAGGAATCAGATTGACTACATCTGTGGGTGGAGTCGTTGGAGAAGCTCAATATCAGCAGTCAAAAGCAGGCCAAATGCTGTGGAACAGAGCATCAGTTATTTATGTGCAAGTTCAAATGGAGGCTGAAGAAAATAAAAATAAGTTCAAAAGAATCAAAATATGATCTTGGATCTATCCTACCTGAATTTAAAAATCATCTTAAAAATATGTTTGAATTGTTGAATACCAGTGATTGAAGAATAGACGAGTTGTGGGATGATATCAAGGATATCATCCATGAAAAGAGCAGATGGTCATTACAAAGACAGGAGAAAGAAAAAAACCAAAGTGGATGTTAGAAGAGATCCTGAAAATGGCAATAGAGCATTGAGTAGCCAAAACAAAAGGAAGAGATACTAAAATAAAAGAGCTGAACATAATTCAAAGGTCAGCTAAAAAAGACAAAGTGTTATTAATGGAATGTGCAGAGAGATTGAATGCAAGACTAAAAAGAGAAGAACTCTTTCAGTATTTCTCAAGCTGAAAGAACTGATAAATCAAGCCTTGAGTTGCAATACTGAAAGATGCTATGGGCAAAATCTTGAATGATCCAGGAAGCATTAAAAGAAGAGGGAGGGAATATACAGACTCACTGTACCAGAAAGAATTGGCTGGCAATGAAATATTTCAGGAAGTACTGAATGTTGAAGAGCCCAATGGAAATGAAGTCGTTTAAGCTGAACTGAAGGTATTGGCAAAAAATAAGGCCCCAGGCATCAATGGGAGACCAGTTGACATGTTCCAGGTAAAATGCAGCCATGGATGTGGTCACTAGTCTGTGCCAGGAAATCTGAAGGACAGTTACCTTGCCAACTGACTAGAATTTTGTTCCCATTCCCAAGAAAAGTGATCCAACAGAATATGCAAATTATCCAACAATAGTAGCATCACATTACAAGCAAAATATTGTTGAAAACGATTAAAAAACGACTACAGCAGTACATAGAGAACTGCCAGAAGTTCAAGCTGGATTTAAAAGAGGCCATGCCACCAAGGGTATCATTGCTGATGCCAGATGGATCCTGACTGAAAGCAGAAAATTTTGGAAGAGTGTCTCTTTGTTCTTTGTGACTACAAGAAGGCCTTTGACTCTGAATTATAACAAATTATGGCTAACACTGAGGAAAAAGGGAATCCAAGATAGATAATTGTGCTTGTGCGAAACTTACACCTGTACCAAATGTAGTCATGTGAACAGAGCAAGGGAATACTGCGTGGTTTAAAATTAAGAAAAGTGTGCATCAGGGTTGTATCCTCTCTCCATACTTACTCAATCTGTATATTGATCAAATTATGGGAGAAGCTGGACTCTATGTAGAAGAATGTGGATCAGAAAAAGACTCAACAGTGACCTCTGTTATGCAGATAACACAACCTTGAAGGAGGACTTGAAGTGCTTGTTGCAGAAGGTCAAAGAATACAGCCTTCAATGTACATTCATCTCAACAGCAAGAAAAGAGAAATTCTCACCACTGGACCTTTAGGTAACCTCATGATAGATGGAGAAAAGATTGAAATTGTCAACAACTTTATCTTACTTATGTCAACAGTCAGTACACTTGGTATCCTCTAATGCTAATCCTAATTCAATAGCATTACAAAAGTCTACAGTCAGAGACCTCTCCAAATTATTGAGGGGCGGTGATGTTAGTTTGAGGACTAAAGTGATCCAAATTCAAGCCATAGTCTTTTCAATCACTTGATAATGCATCTGAGAGCTGAACAGTGAATTAAGGGTGTCAAGTAAAGAATTTGATGCCTTTGCTTTGTGATGTTGGAGAAAAGTACTAAATATCCCATGGATTAAACAAAGAGAAGGAAAAAAAACCAAGAATATCTTTTTTTTTTTTAAGAATGTCTTGTAGTGGGTGCAGCCAGAGTGCTCCTCGGAGACAAAGATGGTAAAGCTTTGCCTTATGTACTTGCTAGGAGAGGCTGTTTGGAAAAGGACATCATGGTTGGGAAGGTGGAAGGATGGTGAAAGAGAGGAAGACCTTCAACAGGGTGGATTGACACAGTGACTGCAGCAGTGGCTCAAGAGTGTCCGAGATGATGAAGATGGCACAGGATAGCGTGAGGCTCAGATCTGTTGTTCATAGGGTCACTGTGGCTTGTACTTGACTTGTTAGCACCAAACAACAACAACAGCAACTTGGGATAGTGTCTTTTCTGTGAGGGACAGAACTGTGTGACTGTCATAATTCTTTTCTCTCCAATTTCCATTGCAGTGCTTGTTCCATGTAGTAAATATTCGGTTCTATTCGTCATAGAATTGAGAACTTTTGTTCCATTTATGTGGTTATCCAATTTCCTATAGCTAATCCCACCTATATAACTTTAAAATGGTGTGGCAAGTACTTATTTGAAAACTACTGTCAGACATTGACTGTGTCTATAGATGAAAAAGAAAATATTGGTTATGTTGTTGTGTGTGATTATGTTGAAACTACCCTATATCTGACCCTCTGTTGGATTTTCAGAGGCAGTTAACCACACAGGAGATTGCCCGTCCTCATGTGCATTTAGGATTGCAGCTCAGCTTCTTCCCACTAGGCCACCAGAGCTCCTTTATCTTCTAAAACTATAAGCCAGTAAGACTGGTGCAGAAAAACTACAGCTACTACTGTTGTGTGCCAATAAGATGACTCTTAGTAAACAATACCATTTTCATTTTAGGGCATTCTTCCTCCAAGATGTCAGGGGACTCTATCAATAGTAAGTATATTAAGCTTTTCTTTATTTGATAAAAATATGTAGATTTGTGTTATCATTTGGTTTCCCATAAATGGTATTTTGATCTGATGTACCTTAATATTTGATTTTGTATGAGAAAAATCATAGGGATGGGGACAAAGCCCACTAAAAGCATAATTTATTCCCTAATTAAGAACCCTTCAAAGTTTCTTATTTTAAGAATAGAAAACAGAAAAATGTTTTCCCTTAAATTTAATGGAAATGTATTTCAATTTTATATTCTGTAATATTAAGGAAGAAAATGAGTGGAGTGGACATGAGAAAGCAATTGGGAGATTAAGTTTGAGGAATAGAACTTCTGTTGCATTAGTCGAAGTGATCTTTGTCATTTAGAAGGATATGGTTTGTTATGTGAAAAGAAAAACACTGTCAAATGGTTGCTGGTGGTTAGTTTTCAAATCAGTTCCATCGAATTCATGGATCTTGGCTGAAAGCAGAGAATACCAGAAAGATGTTTACTTGTGCTTTATTGACTATGCAGTGGCATTTTAATGTGTGAATAATAACAAGATATGGATAACATAGAGAAGCTTGGGAATCTATACATAGGTTTCATTGAATCTTCCCTGCATATTTTATCAGTTTTTTCCCTGCAGCATATCAAAAGTGTTTATACTGTAAAAACAGAAATAATTTCAAGGTAAAGATATAATTGAGAAATAAGGCATAATGTTTAAGTAAAACTAGAAGTAGAATTAATGCAGGCAAGTATACCATAGAGCCTTACATAATTGCAAAGGTGAATCACAAGTTTGTCCTTGTTGTTTCCAGAAACCAGGGCTAAGAGGGAAACCCTAGAGAATGATAAATTGTATCCACTGCTCAGTTAAAAGAACTTTGAGGATATACAGTTTCTTCCTGGCAGAATTTTGAGATCAGAGTTGCCTGTGGGTGCATAAAGGAGTGGAGGGTACTCATTTGTGTGCAGATATGAAGATATCTGAGTGGGAATACTGTGTTGACTTTCTTAAAGACCTTGACATGAGCTGGTAGATGAACAATAAAGTGTATATAATTCAATAGCATTTCTAATTAATTTTCTAAAATATGGATTTATTTCATAAAAATTTAGAAATATAAGACTTCTGAATCACTAGGAAAAGTATAAATTTAGGAATTTAAATTATACTTTCAATTTTATAACTACGTATATATTATGGGACATTTGGGACAAATGTTAGTTCTTTCCAAAGCCTACTGTTCAGATTTAATTGGACAAGTCTGTCAGGGACCTTTCTAAAATGAACATGAGCAGTGATGTCACTTTGAGGACTAAGGCATGCCTGATTCAGACCACGGTCTTTTCAGTCACTTGCTGTGCATCAGACAATTGGACAATGAATAAGAATGATAGAAGAATTGATGCCTTTCAGCTGTGGTGTTGGAGAATAGTACTGAATATCCATTGTTGTTGTTGTTAAGTACAACAATTGAGTTGTAGATGACTCATAGCAACCCTATGAATGAAAGGCCTGGACACTTTTATAACTTTCATTGTTTCTCTAAGTTCATAGAGTTTCTAGAGGCAAGCTATTTTGGAAGTGGATGGCACTCCTGCTTCCAATCCTGTTTTAATCTGGGAGCTCCACTAAACTCTGTCCAATATGGTTAACCATTATCATATTTGACACATCAGTGTCATGGTGTTTAGCATCACAGCAACCACAAGTTACCTCTGTTCAGCAAATTGACAGGCCATGCCCCCCTTAAAGTACATGTATATTATGAGATCAGATGTGAAAAGATGAAGGATGAAATTGAACACCCTGAAACCTATCAAAGCCCTAATCCATATATGAGTAGTTTCTCTGCTGTGTGGCCTATATTACTTAAGCTTTGCGTTAATCTTAGCAGCTGTCTAAACTGAAATACTTGCCATGAGAGCTTTGTTTCTTGTTTACTCCAGTAGTTAATTTCCCAAATTAATTTTTTTTAAAAAATTTAACTTTCTTTGAGACTTTGAGTAAGAATAGCAGGATTGCTTTTAACCTGGCTTTCCTTATAGCAGAACAGGAGTGAGAAGCTCTTTGTGATATTCTGGAGGGAGTCAGTAGCCCTCAAGATGACATTAAGAGCTGGTCAGCACGACCAGGAAACAACCATCACCTGGATTATCCCAGACAAACAAAGCCGCAACCTGTGCCCCTTTCCTATAAAATCTTTACTCAACCTCCAGCGCATGGAAGCAGATTTGTGAAACCTCCACCTACTGCCTTCTATACGTAATAGAGCTCTTACTATTTACTAAAAATTAGAGAGAAGAGAAAAACACTATTTGGGGCTTTGATTACCCACCAATCAGAATGGGGAAAAAAACCCAAACCACCAAACGTCTTTTGGGGAAAGTTCTTGACACACATGCTCTCATTTCTTCTCTTTCCCTTTCTCTTCTCATTGTCCTTCATCCTGTTGTTGTTGGTATGTGTTGTTGTTGTTGTTGTTGTGTGCCGTCACACCAGAACTGACTTATAACTGACCCTCCAACAGATTTTCAGAGGCAACTAATTGCTTGGGAAGAGACTGCACAGCTTTCTCCCATGGAGCAGCTGGTGGATTCGAACCATATGGCTTTGGGTTTGCAGCATAACGTCTTACCAGTAGGCCACCAGAGCTCCCTAAAATCAAGAGCTAGAGGTTTTAATTAAACTCTCTAGTGGTAAGGATTTGTGCTGCCAATGCAAAGAAGGGTACACGATTCAAATTCACCAACTGTTCCTCAAGAAGAAGATGGGCAGTCTCCCCCCAGTCTGAAAACCTGCCTCTGAAAACCTTCTGGTGGGTCAGTTACGGGATGGTTCCAACTTGATGGCTTATAACAGCAAAAGTAGTTCACAGCAGAGCTGGGACTTAACTGTGTTATAGCTCACTTTTTAAAGCTTTTTTATAAGGAAATCTAATATAAGTTCACTCTTTGGTGAACTAGTTTTTAGTAGGTAACATTTTACAAATCCACATTAAATTATTTTATCTCATTTCTGTCTGTAATCTAGATATAAAAATGCCTGCTTTGTTAGACTGTTAATGAAATTAATTACAGTGGAGTATAGTTACAAATGTACTTTTAATGTATTTTAAAATCACAGAGTATAGATGCAACAACATAGAGTCTGTTGGCCTAGTGGATAGAAAGTTATGCTACCAAGTCAAAGGTGGATGATTTTTAATCTGTGGCCCTTAGGCCTGATTTTAATTGGTTTTGGCCAAACATTCTTCTAAGTGGTATAGCACTGGTCTGTCCATTTGCTGTACAGAGGTAACTCATGGTTGCTGTGATGCTGAACACTGTAACACTGATGTGTCAAATATGATAATGGTTACCCATGGTGGACAGTGTTTGGTGGACCTTCCTGATTAAAACAAGCTTCGAAGCAGGAGTAGCATCCACTTTCAAAATAGCTTGCCTCTGGAAACTCGATGACCGTGGAGAAGTGATGAAAGTTATACAAGTGTTCTGATTTTTCATTCATAGGGTCACTATGAGTTATCTACAACTCGATGGCACTCAACAACAACATATATGTAAAATATATGCCTCACTCATGATCACTATTACTGTTTGAGAAAATAAAAATAGCTTTGATTAAATTCTATTTATTCTATAGACTTAATCAGATAAAAAGTTAAGTCTGACCTATTCATTTGTCATAATCATGATATTTGGAAGTTTTTTGCCATTTCTTAAGTAGGTCAAGTTAGGGGAAATGGTATTCTGTTTTAGACATCACACTTTAAAAGGAACATTGAAAACATGAAACAGATCAAAGAAGAACACTACCAATGTGTAGAAAGAACTGGAACATGTGTCATAGAATGTTGTAAGAACTGTAGATGTCTGCCTTGGGGCAGAGGGAGGGAATGAGGTGTAGATATGGAAGCTGTGGAGAGAGGACTACTGCAGGACCGAACTAGAGGATGGGTAAAAGAGAACACGTGCTTAATTTAAGGAAAACCTTATGAATTAGACCAGTCTGAAAAGAGACTGTACTGTTTGAGAAAGTAATGACGTGTGCAAGTGTAGATTAGATAACCACTTGTTGGAGGTGGTGCAATAAGCAATTCAGCCATTGGCTAAGGCTTGGATTAAACCTCCCACTTCTCCTTTTGATTTAGTATCAGTGACTTAAATTTTGACCCATATTTGCCACTAAGTACTGTGTGTATTTAATACTAATATTTCTGTTGTGTTGGAACTGACCCATAGCTGACCCTCCACAAAGTTTCAGGGCATTAAATCCCATGGGAGCAGATTGCCCATCTTTCTGCTGTGGAACAGCTGGTGGATTTGAACCACATACCTTTGTATTGGCAGCCCAATTCCTTAGCACTTAGTCACCACAGCTCCCCTTACCATTGATACAGGAAAATCATTTGTAATGCCTGGTTCCCTTGTTACTTCCTTCAAAACACACCTCTCACTTCTGGCAGGCTGTAGCAGTTACTTGGAGTGATTTGAAGTTAGTCACCTTCAGGAGACAAGATTTTATAGAATCAAAGCATTAATTGTTGTTGCTGTTCTTGTTATGTACTGGCAAGTCACCTGTTAAAAGTTAGTCTATAACCCTGGAATTGTTTTTCTGAGGATAGTTGTCCATTTTTAAAGTGTGTTCTTTCAAAGAGGATTTTAAATAACATTACTCTAAATGTTTTTTGGTAGAACTGTATTTTCTAGTCTTGGAAAACTTCCTGTTGGGTGCCATCTAGTTGACTATGGCTCATAGTGACACCATGGATGCCATAGAGTTGGCTATGACACATGGTGACACTATGGTGGATCTGAACCTTGCTCTACCCTGTGCCATCCTCATCTCTGCTCTACTTGGGCCTCTGGATGCTGGGATAGGAGAACTGGCATATGAGAAGTACTGTTAGAAGGGAACAAGAGGGCAAGTAGCTGGTTGTGAAGTCCTTCTATATTATCATGGTCTATGCTGGCTTTGAAGGGCCTTTGCTGATTTTGTTCTCTAACATCATTTCCAGGACATTTTCTGTTAGGAATAACTTTATTAGACCCGTTTAGTGTTCCTGAACTTACTTTATCATCTTGTTATGTACTGTCAAGTCAGAACTGAGTCATAGCTGACTGCCCAGCAGTTTTTCAGAGGCAGTAAATCAGATGGGCGGAGATTGCCTATTCTTCTTTATTGGCACATCTGGTGGATTCAAACCATGTACCTTTGGGTTGACAGTGCAGTTTCTTACCACTTCTTTCTATTAGTTTCCAGAATAACAAAAGTAAGACTTTCATTCTTTTCTTTATATATTCAGTTTGAGACACTGGCAACTGCAGTGCTGTTACAAGAGTTGTTATTGTTATGGTCCATCAAGTCTCCTGCGACTCATAGTGACCCTATGTACAATAGCCCTAAATCCTGCTCTATCCTGTGCTAATCTTACTATCTCTGACACCCACCCCCATTACCCCAGTTACTGAATAAATCCATTTTATCAAAGGTCTTCTTCTCTTACGCTGTCCCTCCACCTTCCCAAGCATGATGTCCCTCTCCAAGGACTAGTCCCTCCTTGCAGTGTGTCCATAGTTTGTCAGATGAAGCTTCAGCATCCTTGTTTCCAAGGAGCAGCCTGATCTCACTCTCTCTAGGATGAACTTGTTTGTTCTAGCTATCCATAGCATATTTAATACTCTTCTCTAGCACCACAGCTCAAAGGCATCAGTTCTCCTTTTATCATCCCTAGTCAGTGTACAGCTTTTTGATGCATAGCAAGTAATTGCAAAGACTATGGCCTTTGTTACAAAGTAGGACCTTTTTTGTAATGTTATCTTTGTATGTGTTGTTATTGTTGTTAAGTGCTGGGCAGTCTTGGACAATTCATAGCGACCCTATGAATGAAAGACCCGAACAGTTGTATAACTTTCATTGCTTCTCTGAGTTCATAGAGTTTTCACAGGCAAGCTATTTCGGAAGTGGATGCCACTCTTGCTTCCAAGCTTGTTTTAATTGGAAAGCTCCACCAAATAGTGTCCACCATGGGTAACCATTCTCACATTTGACACATCAGTGTCACAGTGTTTAGCATCACAGCAACCATGATTTACCTCTGTACAGCAAAAGGACAGACCAGTGCTGTACCACTTAGAAGAATATTTGGCCAAAAACAATTAAAACCAGGCCCGAGGTCCATGGGCCCAAGGGCCCAAATGAGATTTTAAATAGGAGGCCAATAAAATCAGCTCACACCCATTATCCAGTCAACATTCCACTTTAATCCTCACCAGAACCAGCAAACAAACCTCTGTAGAATCAGGCTGCTGCAGATGACTTGCAAACTGGATTCCAGCCCCCTCCTGCTGACCAAAGACATTTTTAAATGGGAGGCCAAATCAAATCAACTCACACCCATTAGTGAGTCAACATTCCACCCTAATCTTCACCAAAACCAGCAAACAAACCTCTGTAGAACCCAGCTGCTGCAGATGATGTCCAAACTGGATTCTAGTCCCATACTGCTGACCCCTCCCCGCACCTTTTGTGTTGTTGTTGTTTAGTATTTTGGTTAGAATTTGTACGAATAGATGCAGTTAAGACCAAAGTTCAGCTATCTCTATTGATTCAAGGATCAGAGTCCAGCAGATGAAAGGTAACATTGGCAAATCAATCATGTTTTATTTTTGTGTTCTGTTTAAGGTACACCCTGTATTGACATGCTAAATTTATGTCAACTTCTTTTTAGTCTAATGGTCATTATTGGAGAGACGTTCTTTAGTGATGCAATTACTTTATAGAAAATTATTTTATTGCCTCATATGTGTTTTTCATTCTTTTATAATTTTTTATTCACTACAAATGTTTATATTATTATATTTTTAGGGTGGAAATATTTTTATTGTTTTTACTAATTTTAGAGGTAGTTTAATTTATTTAAAATTATTTGGAAGTGCTTAAGATAGAAAATAAATATGTTCCAGACTCTCAAGTAATATAATCCCTGTTAAATTTGTTTGGTACTTACTTGTAACATAAATAAATGTGTATATATTCTAAGTTATGTTGAGCATAATTTGGACTACACTACGTGTACTTTTTGTAATTCCTTATTTTAAATTCTATACATTGTGGATATCTTTCCATGGGGATGCACTTATAAATAAGGTGGAGTTTTGCTGTTGTTTTAACTGTTGTATAGTATTTATTTTGCCAATCCCTAGTTCTCAGCAGGTGGGGATTGAGTTTGCTTCCTTTTGTTGTTAGGGTGCCATAAGAATCTTTATGCATGTAGCTAAGGTACTTATTGATTCTAAGTAAATAATTAAAATCCTAAATGTAGCTTTGCTGGTTCAGAGCACAAGTGCATTTAAAAGTGGTGTGCAGATGCAGGTTTTTTTTTCTCTCTCAAGAAACAGTTTACAACATTTTTATTCCCATTAATGTATGGGATTGCTTTTATTTGCACTGTAAAAGATTTTCTCTAATTAATGTAACCTGAATTATTTTTTTAAATGTACACCTTTTTTTATGCTTTAACTCATTTTACATACTAGTTCAGCTCTTGAGGACCTAATATAAGTATACTTTGTAAAAAATCTTGTATATCTTTTGTATGACAGTTTTTAAAAAAGCAATACTAAATCAAGGATATTACAAGAGATCATTACTTAGAAGAATTTATGTTATATTTTCATTTCTGCATAGTATAGCTTGCTCATGTTGTCATTTTGAGTATCATCGAATCAGACCCATAGCTGATCCACTGGCAGGTTTCTAGAGGCTTTAATCATGTGGGAGGAGATTGCCCGTCTTTCTCCCGTGAACAGCTGGTGGATGGATTTAAATCACATACCTTTGGGTTGGAAGCATAAAATTTCTTACCACGATCCTATAACCATAAATCATAGTTTCCCATAACTCTTCCAGAAATCCTTGGGCTTTTTTTGGAGAATCTCCAGTTATCTCCAGGGCCACTGATAGTACAGTGAGTTACGAGGTGGGCTGTTGACCAGTGATTGGTGGCTCAAACCCACCAGCTTCTTTGTGGGAGAAAAAATGAGGCCTTCTGATCCTATAAAGATTCACAACCTAAACAGAGACAGTTCTCTGTCCTGTAGAGTTTCTGTGAGTAAGGATCAACTAGACAGCTGTGAGTTACCTGGTATCTCTTCGCTTACTTGGTTTTAAACATAATTTGTTGTGTCTCAAAGAGCGAATGGTATTTTCAGAGAACCATACAAGTTGAAGCGGAACTGTGGTTATTATCACAGTTAATTTAATTGTAGTGATGCAAAATGAATTGAAGTTCAAAATGTGCCTTAAGTCAAATGCATGTTTTTAAAAATCTCTTCTTATTTAAATAGAAAATTCTGATGAAGAAGAAAGTGCTTCAGAATCTGAACTTTGGAAGGGTCCGCTCCCAGAGACAGATGAAAAATCTCAGTAAGTCCTGATCCTAATGGATAATGCATATCCTGCAAATCTGGTTAGGAAGCTATGATCACAGCCTTCCTTGCAGAAGTTAATGTAAAACTTTTGCATTGTGAATGTCAGTTTAATGCCAGGAACCACCTGGGCCAGGAAGATTGGAGCCTATTCCTAGCCATTGTTTGTAGCTGTAAACAGCCAACTTACCCAGCTGCTCTTATTGGTGAATGTGCATTTAGTCTATTTCAGATCATAGAGGCCCATGTAACAAGTGCCACTGGCCCAGAGCATTTTTAAGGCTATAATCTTTTATGGAAATAAGTCCCTGGATTCCTTTTGAGGAGCCAGTGAGTGGATTTGAATCATCAACTTTTCTCTTAATAGCTAAGTGCTTGATCATTACGTGACCAGGCTCCTTAATTTAGTACCCTTTCATATGATTTTGAGACACTATGATCTACCAAAAGGAGCTCTGGTGGCATGGTGCTAAGAAGCTGTGCAGCTAACCCACAGGCAGGACCTCTCCGGGGGTTAGAATCCACCCAGGCTCTCGGGGAGGAAGCTGGACGGTGCACCCGTGGAACACAGCTTCTGAAAACCCAATGGAGAATCAGCTTTGAGGCAGCTCCGACTCAAGAGCCGGAAGCTGAATTATAATCTGATAACATCTCTTTTCTGAGTTCTGTTGTTTCAGATAAAAATTTTACTGCTATAAATAGATCACATATTTGCTATTCTGAGTAACAGAAAACTGTAGCCGCATAGTCTGGTCTTTCTTATTCAATAGCAACTTTCCTAGGAATAAAATTTATATGTTCCCTTATAATAGTTTCCCCCCTCCATTTCTTGATCAGATTATAGTTTGAAATGAGAACAAAGGGAAAAAAAGACTAGTAGTAATCAAAATACAAAGAAAAGCAATGACATCTTATAAAATACTATGGAATACAATTTTAGGTAATAAACACAAGGATTCATGTCACCATATAAGGCATTTTTATTTTCATTAATGCCAGTTTAATGGGTATGGTGTTACAGTGGTTAATCTGGAAACTACACATTATTTGATAACTGACTCATGAAAATATTTTGATATATAGTGAAACCAGCCAATAGATTTATAAAAATTTTATTTTTTATGTCGTAGGTGGGGTCTAGTAATTTTTTACTGTAATTATTACTTTTAATAAATATGTGTTCTTTTTTCTTTAATAGGGAAGAAGAATTTGATGAATATTTTCAGGATTTGTTTTTGTAAGACATGAGAGAAAAACCTACATTCCTAAATGTGGTTGAAACGCTATAAACGTTTATCTACAAATTGCAGGTTGAACCTTTTGTCTTGGGAGTAAACATCTGTTATTGTCAGGATGTCACAGGCTTTGGAAGTTCATTATTTCTATTAGCACAATCCAAGGAGCCACTTTAGAACATCTAATTATTTTTATGCATGATTTGTAGAGTTCCATTCTTCAACACCAGAATATTGCCAAATAAACATTCTCTGTTTTCATATTTCTTACTACCTAATCTCTTAACTTATCTGAATTCTCCTACTAGAGAAATCTTACAATATAGTTCTCAAAAGTAGAATATTTTAAGGGTGGCTAGTGAGCAGAATCCTTGGGAGAGTAGAGGTTTTCCATGCACTGCCTCAGTCTTAGGTGCGCCTGTTTGGTCAGGAAAATTGGAAATAAAGCAGTGCAGTCCTATTTGGCTTCTCCTTAACAGTGAGGATCCTGAGGAGAAGCAAGAATTTGAGAGCAATTTTAAGATAACAGAATGTTTTCTTTCACTCTTGAATCTTCCGGTCGCTTGTCTTTAGACATCTTTTTTTTCCTACTCTAAAATTTTGAAACTCACATTCACAGAATGTTTTCTCACAGCATATTCTTTACAATAATTAATCTTGGTCTTTCCAGATCTAAATCATATGATTAAAGAAGACAGGACTTTTTTTCCACAAGAATACTATCTATATGGTGAATCAATGAGAATGACTCATAGTAACAGACTTAGTGATTTGTCTAATTCTCTTTGAAGATATTCTTATAAAAAATTCTCATTATATATTCGTGATCATTTGACAATGGCTGTCTTTTAGAAATGTCTGGTTTCTTTCTGTACCATTGATGCAAAGATGAGATAAAGACAGTTGATTCACAGTTCCCCTTAGCTACGCCACTCACCCAGCCACCCATTGCTGTTGAGTCACAACCATCTCATAGCTGACCCTCCTGTGAGTTTTCACAGACTATAAATCCCATGGGAGGAGATTGCCCATCTTTCTCCCTCAGAGCAGCTGGTGCGTTTGAACCACCCACCAGAGAGGTGCTGCCTTTAGGTGAGCAGTGCAACTCCTTAGGATTATGCCAGCCAGAGCCCTTCTTAGTTACCTAGATGCCTAACAGCCCACTCACTTACTCACTGTTAAGTCTGCTCCCACCCTCACCTGGGTTTCTGAAGCGGCTCATCTTTCTCCCAAGGAGCTGCTGGTGAATTCTAACTGCCAGATGCTTAACCATTTGGTCAGCAGCACACCATGTTACAAACTATACCACCAGAACTCCTTGCACCCCTAAATTACCCACCCCCCCAAAAAGCAGGAAGAAGAGCCAGCACTGAAACAAAATCAAAGGTGAGAATGAAAAAGTATATGAAGAACATTTTCCCATCACTTTTTGATTGCTTATATACGATTCTACTTCATCTACAGTTTTTAGAGGATAGAGCCAGTAGTCCAAGCAAAGAGTTTCTTCTTTTTGTATTTTGAATAAGATTTGAAAATGGTTTTATACTTTCCCTCTTAATTAGATTGAGTCCTGGTGGCCTCATGGCTAAGGAGTTGCCCTGCCATCCCAAAGGTGGTCCAGGTTCCTCAGGAGAAAGACGGCTTCTCCTTCCACACAATTGCAGCCTCTACACACCCTCTGGAGGGTCAGCTATGAATTTACTTTAACTCAGCATCATTGAGTTAATTGTTAATGACTTTAAATTACTAAGATTGTTCATGATCCCACAAAAATTATAAAGTATATTAAGTACATTTTAAATGCTTTACTTCCCTTTGCTACTAAGACAGCCTTTCATTTAAGCTCTTCTTTGTCCCTACTCACCTATTTCTGGCTGTCTTGTAGCTTTTTTAAAAATTTGCCTTTTCTTGGGACCGCTGATCTCTACCACTTAAAGGAGTTTGTTATAATTAAATTTGACTTTTCAGTCCATGAGGAATTTCCTATGAATTTATATTGTAAGGACCAAATGAATGAAGTCCCAGAAGTATAGAGGAATGGATGTATTGATAAAGTTTTTCTCCCCAGTTGAGGTTATACAGCAATTAATAAAAGAATTTAGCCAAATAATATGGTGTGCATAGGAATTTTCTCACTTAACATACAGGGAGATACTGTAAATGATAACATTTTAACTTGGGGTCCATACCCTAAGGTACCATGTATGTATTTTACCGGATAAAAGAAAACTTAGAATCCGTGTCCAATTCTGGGTTTTGTTTTTGAGGAAAGTACTTATAGCTTTCATCAAATTGTCATTAAGATGTATTCATTAAAGAGAAAAAGTGAAGACTCATTTTTATGAATGTAGAGAGCCGACTAGATAAAGATATTTCACTTACTGAATAAAGAGTGATCATACCATTGCAGTTATTTAATTGTAGATGCACTGTTTTAAATGTCCTTTTAGAGTGTAATGATAGATACTAAACTGAAAATAAATAACTTTATACCTAATTTTAAAATGTCTAGTATCAGATTTTTTTTTATTCAATAGTTGTTGCATTTAACAAATATCTATTAGGCATTCATTATGTGTGAGACACTTTTCTGGATATTATTATAAAGAAATGATCTAGGAAAATAACAAGTTATGTAATAATTTCTGAACTTTTGCCAGAAAATAGTAAATCATTATTAGCTTGTTAAATTTCAAGTTGTCTCATTTGTTACTTTAAAGAATTGTTTTTCCTCTGACAATCTATTGTAAATAAAATGGCACCTTAATTTTTATGAATTTTTTTAATTTTTAAAAATGTTATTATTTTTGGGTGTGTACTATCAAATTGGATCTCGCTGGTACAGGAGGAGATTGCCCCTCCTTCTCCAGCAGAGCATCTGATGGGTTTGAACCACGTGTGGGATTGCAATGTAATTTTTAAGAAAAGCATGCTAGAAATGTCCAGCATTTCTCAGAGATGAGTTTATTTGGGCTGGTAAAACACTTGAAAATGAATAGTGATGGTGATGATACAATATGCTAAATGTAATTGAAATAATTTCTAAATTAATAAAATGGCTAATGCTTTTTTGTATATTGTGCTACAATAAACTTATTTTAAAAACTTGTCACCTAGATACTGCTTTAAAAAAATACAAAGAAACGTCCAGCTACAAAACTGTTATTAACATGATCATGATATGCTTTCCAGCTAAAACATTTTTATGATAAAATATACATTTGTATTTTAATGGTAATCTGAAAATAAAAGTACTTGCAAAATCAATACATGACCAGGAAGAATATTTAAAGACTTTTAAAGAAGATTCATGTATCTATGGTATTGTACATGGGGTTTATGAACATTTTAGTGGGTCATTCTGTATAATCAAAATAATACACTCATATTCAGTGACATGCGACCCATATTTTTAAGGAGTCTTTGAAAAGCCTCTAGCCTTATCCATTATAACTAGCTTAAGGGTTATAACTGTATCTGGGGGTTTGACAATTCAATATTTAGATGAGATCAGGCACGTTCAGGGTGGTATGACCATAGACTACAATTCAGTATTTACGTTGTATACATAACCATTTCTAATTGGTTACCTCTATTGAAATCCTTCAGCTACTTTGCAGAGTGAAGTTCTTCCAATAATCAAATCACAGGGTTACAATATAACTATCTGAAACTCTGCTAAAGTTTGATATAGTCAAGGTGTTCAATTAACTCTGGGGGCATTTGAGATTTTTTTTCTTAAGACCTTGATCTTGAGGAAATTTTCTATTTTTGTTGAATCTTCGGTTTCGAAGGAGAAGCTGACTGAAGGAGGAGCTTGAGCTGATTGGTAATTTTTGGTCCCAAAGTGAGTAAAGCTAAAGTAATAAAGTTTCTTATTTGGTTTTAAAAGTGGTCCTGGAAGATTATTTAAAGCTGAGGAATAAGAGAGTACACACCTTTGCCCAGGGTGACAACTAACACACAAACCAATCATTTGGGTGTCTACACTGAGTTTTGGTTGGGTTGTTTTTTCATTCTAAAACTGCTTTTATCTTAAAGTCTCTCTTCATTTATGCCTGTTTAGTATGTATTTGGAGTATTCATAGTTACAGACTGTAGATTATAGAGCAGGCACTGGTTTAGGTGTGAGGGAGGAACTGTGAAGAACAAAAATATCCCCTCTTCTGGAACTTCCATTCTAATGTAGGTAAACAAGTTTTATGATTCTTAGTAACTGGTGAAAATGTAGCAATAGTGATTTATTTCCTTTTTCTTTTTATTGGTTTGCATACAATAATTGTATTTCATTCCTATACATTTTGTTTTATATAACCTTTCATTTACATTGTTTTATATATTCATATACATTGTATATTACATAATTACTTCTGATCTATGCCTGTTAATACCTCATCATTTCAAGTCCTCATTGAATCTTACTATTCTTTCCTACAGCCCCCATTCTTCCCACTAACCTTTGCTATCCTAACTGGTTTATTTCTTGACTGCTTAAAAGTAAAGAGTTATCTTGTGGGTAACAGCCTTTGAGATCCATAATGAATCTACTTGATTCATTAACATTTAGATCTCCTTGGACAAGAAAAATTATGGTAAAATATGTGGCACAATAATCTTCATCTGTTTTCAATTTAGATTATGATTACATGTTAGTAAAGGAAGAAATCTTAAATTCTAGACAGGCAACTTATCCTGGAAATAGTTGATGCCCTTAGTTTCTCTTGACAATTCAATATTTAGATGAGAGCGGGCATGTTCAGGATGGCATGGCCATATAGACTACAAATCCATATTTAGGTTGTATACTTAACCATTTCTAAATTGTTACCTCTGTTGAAATCCTTCAGCTACTTTGGGTAATGAAGTTCTTCCATAATCAAATCACATGCTGTTCAATGATGTCCAGTATTTGTTAGCTGACTTTCCTTGCATTCAGATCATCTAGGTGGTATTTGATATGTTGGCAGTTCTTGTTTCCTACACTGTATTTACATTCTGTGTTTTGATCAGATTTTTAGTTCAGAAAGGAGTCAGATTCCATGGAGTTGATTTTTACTCAGTGCCCGCATGAGACAGAGCACACCTGCCCTAGAGGGTTTTACTGGCGGGAATTTTTACAGAAGTCTATCACCAAGTCTTCCATTCTCTGAACACATGCTGGGGTTTGGAAGGCCAGCATTTAGGTTAGCAGCCCACACAACTGTTAATGAGAACTTGTTAAAAAGAATTTATGACCAGTTTAAGAATTGCTTGTTCTTAATTTAAAGCAGATAAGTGCCAGCAATACATCCATCTTTACCACTTCTGTTGCCCTTTATTTGGCTTCAGTGTTGCCAAGGTAGCAGTACATTTTCTCTTGAACAAGCAGCAGGGATCAGCAACTTCTCTGATGATCCTTTTGCTCTGTCACTTGATGATTTACTGAATGGAGTTTGTGGAAGCTCTTTGGAGTATTTTCTGGTTTTCTTCCAAAGTAGAAACACTGTTTGACATTTTTACCACTTGGGTAATGTTACAACATTAGACAGGTTTTGGACTTTTTGTCATCAACACAATCCTTTGGCTCTTCAGCAGCTTTGGAGGTGAGGGAAGAAAAGAAAGTTATTAGAAGTCAGTAGATATAGAGTAGTTTATTTATACATTCTCATGGTCAATGTGATAAGTCTGATTAATAACTTAAGCTTATAGCAAGGGTTTGACCACTTAAAAACTTGAAATAAATATATTTGTTCCATTTTAAAGATAAACATTGATGAATCATTAGCTAGTTATCATCCCAGTTTTTTTAAAAGAAACACTGAAGTACAAAATCTGGAAATTTCTACAGTTCTAATTCATTAAGTATACTGAATAATGCAAACCTTGAAAAAGGAAGTATTTTCATATTTGCAATTTAAAAACTGTGAGTAGTTGTGTGTTGGATAATATTTTTAAAGAATTGTGGTCACGTAAAGCCGCTGAAAACCTGTCGAGGGTCAGCTGTGAGTCAGCTCTGATTCAGTGGTACCCAGCAACATATTTCACATACTTATTCAAAGAGTATTCTAACCCATCAGCTGCACCTTCAGTGGAAAAAGATATGGCAGACTACTTCTATAAAGATTACAGCCTTAAGAATGTGACAGTGCAGTTCCACTCTGTCCCAATGAGTGTAAGTCAGAATATACATACTGGCAACAGGTTTAGTAAAACTAACCAGTCCGGCTCACTTGAATTTAACATGTTTGTGTTTTGAACTGTCAGTGAAGATTCTTGGCAGAAAATAAAATCCAAATAATAAAAGCTAGGTGAATGTATATAGACTGAGCTAGGAATATAGGAATAAATACTTAAAAGAATTTTATTCTTTACAAAAGCCTTTGCAAAAGAGAATACCGTAGTAGAAAAGTGTCAGTTCTGGCCATTAGTAGTCAAATGTTTCTGTATTTAGTCCAAAGACTATTTTTAATAAGGTCACCTCATTTAAAATTTAAGTACAAAATGCCTCAAATATTAGGGAGAAGTAGTATGGAAGAAAGACAAAGTGAAAATACTCCCCCAAAATCAGTGGCATTTTTAGCAGTCTGCATGAAACCTAACTCTGCTTTCTTTCAAAGGATATCTATTCTCTATTGCAGAAATCACTTTATTGAGATATTCACATGTCATCCTATTCAACCACTTTAAGTAGGCTAGTTTGGGGTATGCCAGAATTACTCAGCTACCACCACAGTCTTGATGTTAGAGCATTTGTATTCTTCCAGAAGGATCCCCACAGTCATTGACAGTCATTCTCCATTTCCTCACTCCCTCCATAGCTCTAGACAGCCATTGGCCTACTTCGGTCAACACAGTTGCCAATTCCTTGATACTCCATATAAATGGAATCATATATGTGATCATCTGTTATTGGCTTCTTTCACGTAGCATGTTTTTTAAGGTTCATGCATGTGATAGGCATCAGTATTTTATCCCTTTATATGACTGCATAGTATTCCCTTGGTGGGCATTTGCTGGTGGACATTTTGCTTTTTGTCTGTCTTTTGGCTATTGTCAATAGTGCTACTATGGACATTTATATATAAATGTTATTATATTCTGAATACATGTTTTCAGTTATTTTGGGTTGTTTACTACAGAAAGGAATTGCTGTACCATATAACTGTTGTGGAGTACCATAAAGCTGGAACCAACCCATAGCTGACTCTGGTGGGTTTTCAGAGACAGTTAATCACATGGGTGGAGACTGCCCATCCTTCTCCTGTGGAGCAGCTGGTGGATTCAAACTGTGTGCCTTCAGGATTGCAGTGCAGCTTTTTGCCACTAGGCCACCAGAACTCCCTGTATCATATCATTAGGTACTCCTTTTAGAAATTCTGTTGAAGGATTTTCTTACCCATGGGAAGCAAATACTTTCTCCTGTGAATTCTTTTAAATATCACTAATATCACTAACCACAGCAGAACCATCTAAAAGGAATGTTGCTAGATTTTCAGAATTTAGGGATATTCTCTTCATTAAACAATAAGACAGCATTACAAAACCTATTCAGTTGCAAACTTTGCAAACTATCATGAAGGTTAGCATTCTACTTTAAAGATGTTTAGCTTATTTGGTGACTAAGGGTTTCTGAAGTAAATGTTAAAGAATGATTTCCAGTGTACATGAATGAAACACAATTTATATGAATAATATTTATTTTTCTAAAAAAGTTATTTTGTTGTTTTTTATATTGAGTTTATTTTGACTCCATCAACCCCTGTAACAGTAGAAATACTCCATTTTTGCTTGTAACCTGTAGGGAAGCAGCTCACTGTGCCTTTCTGCTGCTAAAACACTGAGTGGGGACTGAACTGCCAACTTCCTGTCAGCAGCTTGCACTTCATCCTCTGTGCCACCAGAGCTCCACTGTGTGACATTAGGAGTAGGGCAGACAGGGAAAACAGCAATGTGTAAAGATGTTTGAGATATTTGGCAAAGTTAGCCAGTTTTGCATCACATACAGGATTTCGTTAAGTCCGAGAGTAATGGAGAATTTTAAGATCTTCCATGTTGTTGTTATTAAGTGCCATCGAATCGTAGGCGACTCATAGCAACCCTATGAATGAAAAAGTCCTTTATAACTTTCGTCCTTTCTCCAGGTTCATAGAGTTTCCAGAGGCAAGCTATGATGGAAGTGGATGCCACTCCTGCTTCAGATAGAAGATCTTCCATAGAGGAGAATATTAAGCTCAGAGAGGTTAAACAAGTTGCCCGAAGTATCACAGCTAATCCTTTATATCAGGACAAAAACATTTGTCCTCCGTTGTGAACCCAGAGATTCTGTGGCTTTTCATACTATCCATGAAACCCCAGTACTCTGTGGCAATGACTCAGGCGCTCGCTACCTTATACAGTGGATGAAGAAGCCTTGTGCATGGTCTCCCCAGCCTCTGCTTCAAATGACCTAGCCAGTGCTATCTCAAGTTACATAAGATCTTGTTTGGGTGGAAAACCGTGGAAATCAAGAACTGTGCACAGAAAAGTCCATTTCATGTTGGAAATACTTGTCAGGTTCAGCCTGACTTCTGGCACTTTACAGGAACACAAACAGACCCCATCTAACCTTTTTCTACTGGGTTTTCCTCTTCCTGCTTTTTGGCCTCCTCTTCAATTACCTTCATCTTTTCTTCATACTCATCAGCTAGAGATTTCCATTCCACTCTGTTGTTCTGAAGACCGTTCAGCATGGGTGTGATTTCTTTATGAAACCGTGAGAACTCCTAGGGAGAAATTTTAAATCAGAAACACTTAAAGCAATGCATTAGATTTTAAAGAATCTCACATACAGCATAGAAGCAGTAAGGGATTTTTACAGTCATTGTGGCTATGAGGATTTGTGACTATGAGCTTAACTTAGTGACTTAGCAGCTGGGAAGAGATAGCAATGGTTATTCCTGCCCGTTTCTGTCTGTTCAGTTTGATCCTATCTGAGTTCTCTCCCCTTTTACTCGAACCCTGAGAGAGATCAGCACGAAATTTTATTTTGGATAAGTAAGGGCATATCTAATGTCTTTCCAAATGGGTGACTTTTTGGTTACACTTTGAAAGATAAATCCTTCAAACAAGTACATATTTTAAGCAAATCATCCCCCCCTCCTACCTTATATACAAAAGTGCAAACAAAATCAATAAATCCAACTTGAAGTTTAGGTAGTTCATCTTTTTTGTTTCTGTCCATCATTGGCTAGAAAGAGAATAAATCCATTTAAGACAGTTTTCTGAGCGTCACTAAACAAAACAGACTGAAGGGCAGTGCTAATTTTGAGTAAGTAATGCAGTTTTGAGATAAGGTTTTTACGATCGGTTGTTGCTGTAGCACTGTTCTCTCCAGGTCTCCTTGTTCCCAGAATTCATTGGCAACCAGAAGAGCTACCTGCAGATAAGAGAGGTGTGGCTCATTAAAGTCCATTTCAGAGGATTTACCTTTTATTTGTTAGATGTTTTCTTTTGAGTGATATTTGTAGATTTAGAGTTAATACTTGAGGTGGTTTTGAACTTTATGTGCCTAAATTTGAAAACTACAGAGAATAGAATAGAATAGAATCAGCTACAGATTATATTGAAATTAGAAAAGGGAAGTTTTTCTTCCTACTTCAGTGGTGTGGACCAATTCCCAGAGTGCCTATCTCTGAATTTTACTGCTACTACCTCTCAACTATAAAAAGGGGAGGTGAAAAAATCTTTGGTTGCATTAAATTTTATGTTTCAGTCTCTAATGCTCCTCAAGTTAACCTTTCCCTGTTTATCTGTTAGTGTCTCAAACACACATGAATGCACATATATGACACACACACATCCGTTTGTGGCTTACAGAGCAGGGAGAGTGAGAGGACATTTTATTCATATTGGTAAAAAAAATGCAAGCTCATCAAACACCTTCTGGTTGTCTTTTATTGGCCTGTGCCATGCTTCTAATGGGAATAAGATGTGACCTCTTTCTTTAGAAGAACCTTCTTCACTAATGAGAACAACCCTGTGAACATGAGGTGGACGCTGTGGTAGTGATGGCATGAAGGCAGAGCCTCAAGGAGGAGGGAGTAAAGATAAGCTTCATAAAGGAGGGAATTTGGGTAAGTGGCAGTATCATCGAGGGTGAACAGTAGTTTGCCTGTTAAGGTTAAAAATGGGAAGAGCATGTGCAGAGGCAGCATCCAGTGTCCGGAGCCATGAGTGTTGGAGCCTAAACAGGGAGGCACTGCCATGGAAGACTGGTGGGAACGGGCCTGGGGAAGTGAGGTATAAGGCCTAATGTGAACTTGAACCTCTAGGCCAGTGGTTTTCTTTCTGGAACCCCAGGGCTCCTCTAAAGTACACTGGGGAGTTCAGGAAGGTAGAGGCCAAGAGATTAAAGCTAAAATAGCCTTACTTCCCACCCCTCCCTTTCTCTCATAAAGTAGCTTTTGAGTTTTTGTGGGGGTGGGAAATGGACTCTTTATTTTAAGTTGAAAACTTGGCAGTGGGAAGTTTATAGAAGGCTCTTAAGCAGTAGCATGGCTGGTACTATAATCAGTCCCTGCAGCAGGTCAGGGCAGGGAGCGGTAGTTTATGATGATGCCCATCATTGATGAACAATGATGGACCAATCAAACTTAGGTAGTAGCAAAGATAATAGAAACTGTTTTAAGATGGATGTTCAGCAGGGTGGACTCAAATAAGCCCTAGGATATTGACTTAGGAGACCACATAGATGGAGACTCAGGAGGAATAAAGAGCAATGTCAGGGTGGACACTGTGAAAGTGTTTTGTTTGGGTTTGATAGATTCTGGTTTTCATATCTTTACAGATACAACCCACAATTACAATTGAACCCAGTTGACCATGGCCTTGGTTTCAGATAGAGTTTTCCCCAGAAGTTATTAAGGGGAAAGGAGACTTTTTTTTCATTCAGTTAATAGGAAAACAATTGGCAACCTGGTACCTTATCAATCCCAGTGTCCAAGAATGAAGAAGAACGTCAGTGGAAGTACATCTTAAACGTGAATTCACAGACAGTGCCTACTAACAACTGACAGCCAATTGAAGAAGGGATTGTGGGGGAAAAGATTCACTTTGATAGACAAAAACACTGACTTATCTTTGTCTAGTGTTGACTTAAATAAGGACATTATGCTTTGGGTGGGTGGAGGGACAGCACAAGAGAGGCAGACCCTCGATGAGATGGATTGACTCAGTGACTGGTGTAATGACAGTAGGTGTGTTAGAGACAATAGAGTTGGCTCAGGATAGAGCAGGGTTAAAAGCTGTTGTATATAGGGTTACTATAAGTTGCAGGCAACTTGACAGCACATATCAACAGTGTTGACTTTTTTTTTACTAAAAAATAAGCATTCCCAGAATGATTTTAATATAAAATTTATACAGCCTGGAGAGGGTTAAACCAGGCTACTCCTTGGAGGCAAGGATTCTGAGGCTTCATCTGACATACTTTGGACATGTTGTAAGGAGGGAGAGGTCCTTAGAGAGGGACATCACACTTGGGAGGGTGGAGGGACGGCGTAGAAGGGGAAGACCCTCTGTGAGATGGATTGATTCAGTGACTGGGGTAATGGGGATGGGTGTGTCAGAGGCAGTGAGATTGGCACAGGATAGAGCAGGGTTTAGGGCTGTTGTACATAGGTTTGCTATGAGTTGCAAGTCAATGGCACATAACAACAACAATTCAATGATAAGGAATTCCTTCAAGAGAACATTTTCTTTCCAAGATTCCTTCTATAGGCCTTGGTCTAAGGCCTGATCAAATTACCTGCTGTCTTTACTGATGTTTGTAAACTCTTAAAAGCCGTTTGCCTTTCATCATTCACCAAAACCCAAAAGAGAACCAGTTTTAGCTGTCATAACTTTTCAAGTTACTTTTCCCATTTTTTTAAAATTAGAAACTAATTTTTTGAAAGGGAAAGTCTATCATAATTAAATAGAATGAAATTATTAATGTATGACTTGTGAAATACACAGTCCTGTCATTAATAGCAATGATGCCGCTCTGAGCACTGCCAGGTATCTTTATGTGGGTGCCGAGCAGCTGGGAATGGGACTTACCTGGCTTTGTACCTCCCAGGGCTTGGTTATAGCGGATAAGTCACAGGCAGTCATCATCATTGCCCTTCGGAAGCAAATTAAAGATGTTTAACTAGAAATTAATTCAAGTTATTTTTCCATAAGAAGAAGAAAATGCTGGCTACCCACATGATAACTTCTTTTTTTGTTGGATCAATGGTTATATATTTGATGGCCTCCTCTTCAGTTTCCATCTTCTCACAGGCATCAACAATTTTTTGAAACATCGTTCTCTTCCTAAAAAACAAAACAAACTGTGCAGCAATTTTCACAGAGAAAAAAGGCATTTTTAAATATATGCTCTTCAGATGCCTACAATTAGGATGCCTACATAGAGGAATCTAAGGAGTATGGAGATAAAAAAGCTGAGAGGGACAAGATAACACTGGCCCAGAGGTGATTGGGGGGGCAGGGAATTACAGCATAAAGGAAAAACGGTTTGCATGTTTGAGTATTTTAAAACTAAAAGTTACATATGTCAAAAGAGACCATGCATGACATAAAGATAAAAGGACTGTCTGTGAAGAGAGATCATTTATATATATGACCTACAAAACATCAGAACCAGGAAATAAATATGTGGAAAGATGCTTAATCTTACTGGTAATCAAGAAAAGACAAATTTTTAGAAAGTAGTAATAAACAATTCCACATACATTACCTTAACAAAAAGAACAAGTTGTAAAGATGTCCAGATCGAGAGTTCCGGACATGGGATAACAGAACCTCTGTACAATACTGGTTGGAGTATAAACTGGCACAACTTGTCAGGTAGTGAAATTCTGTGATGCGACGTGAAGATAAACAAAGCCTGAAGTAACTCCATAACTAGGTCTATACCTTAGGGAAACTCTCATATATGTACCAGGAAATACAGTAGAGAATGATGGCCCCAGAATAAATGCCCATAAGAATAGATAATTTATTATACTCATATAGTTGGATATACAGTTGGGTGTATTGGACCTCTATTACAAATCACCACCACCCGCTGCTGTCTGGTCAGTTCTGAGTCGTATCACTCTTCCATTGGTTTTCCAAGGCTGAAAATCTCAATGGAGAGAAGACTTTCTTCCCATCTCTCTCTCAGAGCAGCTAGTGGGTTTGAACCACTGCCCTCCCTAACATCTAATTCACTATGCCACCAGAGCTGCTGCTTTCTCACAAAGGCTATTTTAAAAATAATTATCTGGGGGGGGAAAAGCAGGTTGTAATTAAATTAAAACTAATACCGTATGTGGTATGGAATAGTACTGGAAAAACGACTATCCATCAACATCAGGGTGCTGTGAGTTGTCACAGGTTGTCAGGGTGACGTGCAGGCAAAACACTTTCATTCTATTACTATTAGACTGTTTGTTTCTCCTGAGGCAAATGTGGAAAATGTTTCCATTTCTCTGCTCTGGCTTATGCATGTTTTGATATCCATTGTCTAATTGTTAGTATCCTGTTTGAAATACTGACCAATTATATTTTAATTAAAAATGAACCAGAGAGGCACAAGTTGACAGTGACCATCAAAGTCATTAAGTATTTTAATCCTCCCTTGTTCTAATACATATTCACCAGGCTACTTTACCAAAATATGTTGGCCAGAAGGTCTCCTTGGTAATTGTTGTTGTTGTTGTTGTTGTTATGTGCCGTCGAGTCGTTTGTGACTCATAGCGACCCTATGTACAACAGCCCTAAACTCTGCTCTATCCTGTGCCAATCGCATTGCCTCTGATACACGCATCCTGATTACCCCAGTCACAGAATCAATCCACCTCATAGAGGGTCTTCCCCTCCTGCACTGTCCCTCTACTCTACCCAGCATGATGTCCCTCTCCAAAGACCTGTCTCTCCTTGCAACATGTCCAAAGTATGTCAGACAAAGCCCCAGAATCTTTGCCTCCAAGGAGTAGCCTGGTTTAACCCTCTCTAGGATGAATCTGTTGATTTTCTTGGCAGTCCATAGGCTAGTGCTCTGTTGTACATAACCTAGAGTTTGTGAGTCCGGTTAAGTGGCATTAGAGTCACTAAGATTGTTCACCTTCCAGACTCTGAGAGGATCAAATTCCTGAGCTGCAAATACTAGATGGGTTTGGGGCCAAAATTTGTCCCCAAGACAAAAGGTCACCATGTGAGGTTTCCTGGCATTATTTCTCTGGGGGGGAAAAAACCCCCACCCAAACCAAACCACAATCCTTGCTTCATATTCTTCAATTCAAAATTCTTTAGGTAATAACTACTTAGTACTAGTTTAAAAGGTTTCCAGATGTCCAGTAAATTGACTATCAAGCATTCAATCAGAGGGCATTCTACTGGTAATCCAAAAGGAAACTGAACGGGGGGTGTTTGGGAGTGTGGGTGTACATGAGAGGCCTTTTAACTTTAATGCTATGGGCGATTTATGAAAGGTAGACCCTCATAAGGTTTTAGGGAGTTCTGCGGTGGGAGATCATATACTTACTTGAAATATAAAGCCAGGTCAGTTGCTATTATTGCAACTTCAAACAAATGAATGACTGTTTCAAACTGGCGTTTATTTAGGTTCTGGAAGATGTTTAAAGTCTGTAAGATGGAAATTCACAATAAAATGCAGTCATTAACTTACCTTTGATTCAGCAACTAATCTTCCAAGCAAAGAATGCTTAACAAAATAATTGAAGACTATTCAATGAAGAATATTCAATGAAGACTATTACCCAAAGAAGAAAAATGAGTTCTAAACCACTTATTTTTTTTTCTACTTTTGTCTCTTAGATTAGTAAACCCATCCATTTTGTTTAAGGAAATTTAGCCTTTAAAAATAGTCTTAGCAAAAGAGCACATATTCCATTTTTAAGGTACCATAGAAACAAACCCTTGGACTTCCTGAAACTGTAAACTATACTGTTGTTGTTGTGTACCGTCATGTTGGAACAGACCCATATCTGACCCTCCAGTGGGTTTTCAGAGGCAGTTAATCACACAGGAAGAGATTGCCCATCCTTCTTCCACGGAGCAGTTTGTGGATTTGAACTGCAAGCCTTTAGGATTGCAACACCTTCTTATCACTTAGCCACCAGAGCTCTACTAGAACTTAAATATATGTAAGAAAAGATTGAATCTTCCCATGTTAGTCTTAAAATATTATCTTACAATTGTATCTTGTAAAGACTTTACTAGATCATTCTTTAAGTAGTTTCCCACTAATACTTTGTTCACATATGGTTATTTTTATGTCTTAGCTTTCTAGAAAAATGATATAAAGCTAGAGGTGATTTTAAAAAAAGGTTTGATAGACTATTTCTAACAGAAAGACTACATGGGCATCTAGGTATGTTGTTTTCAAGTAATGTTGACAGGGAATACAGAAAAATCCCCTGGAGAGAAAGACGAATTAGTCTGTTAAGTAGCAATTTAAAGAAAGAAACCTGATTCCGACTCATAGCAATTCTATCACTCGCTCCCTCACTGGAGGAGATTGCCTGTCTTTCTCCTGAGGAGCAGCCAGTGAATGGAAAACCTCCTGCCTTGAGTTGACAGCACAGCTCCTTATACACAATGTCTTTTACTGAGGCTGTGATCTGTACTGAAGCGTCTGCCACAGTTTCTCCAGAGAGCACTGGATGCCCGATTGGCCTTCACAGCTGACTGGCCTTCAGTTCCCAATTGAAGGCTTGAGCATTACACTACCAGGGCTCCATAGGTGGAGATCACAAAAAGAAGAGTCATCTAAAAGGCACCTAGGTGGCTGTGGGGACCGATGGCCTGTCGGTACACTGTTTCACACTCACTATCTCGTTTTGCAGCAGTTGACATTTATAACAGTGAAAAAAAATTCTACCCTGTGGCTATTTTGCACAGCAATGATGCACAGCTTGCAGCCATGACTGTAGCTTGCAGCCATGAGTGCTGAAGTGCTCGGTGAGCATAATGCTGCTGTGACAGGTGATGCGTCAGCTTGGCCGGGTCATGATTCTCACATATGGCAGTTACATCGTGATGTGATTTGGCCTTTATGTACTCATCTTCTGGTTTTTGCCATCTTGTGTGATCATCTTCCATTTTTGTTAACACTGATTTTTGCATAACAACCTGGTCTTTTGAATCTAACCAGGCTGAGAAATGAGGAGTAGTGTAGGGGGTTAGAATGCAGCAAGGGATGGATGGGAGGGATATGCAGAATGTTTGGGGATGATAGCAGGGTGCTGTAGCTGAATTATGGGGGGATTCTTACAGGTGTATAATATTATAAAAATGCATAAGCCTGTACACGAGCATTATACTAGTTAAGTTTATTAAAAACCAAAATTCTGACTTTCTCAGTATTATTAGCAGGAAGTATCAAACAGAAGAAAAATATCAAACAAGTTATATGATCAAAACATAAAAAATTATGAAATGAGAACTGAAATAAAGAAAGATGAAGGGAATGAAATTTTGCCTGCCTGACATTATTCCAAACATATAAAATGCTGGTTTCTCCAACTAAATTAAAGAATCTTTCTCAGATTATGTTTATTTCCCTCCTTTTATGATCAGATTGTGTTTAGTTCCTACTGATAACAAAAATATATACCCTTTTAGGGGGGGAGAAACCCTCTGGCCTTTTAAATTTACAAAGAAAGGGCAAAAATAAAGGGCAAAAAGAAGAAAGAATGAGAGGCAAAATTAATACCAGATTTTTTTGAAAACTCAACCAAAATTCTGACTTGGTGGGGGGGGGGGGGGGAGGGAATAGCCTAGATGGTATAATCCCATTTTCTTAAAAGTGTTTTTATCTACCCTGCCTATTCATAAGGTATTTGCAGTGAAGTTCATCAAATGTTAGTTAAATAACTATTTCTGGGTGGTAAGATTTGAAGAGTTTTAGGTTTTAAAAAAATAATTGCCCTTGAAAATTGGAAAAATAAAAAAACTTATTGCAATGGGCATGTCTGCTGTTAGGGACCTCTCCAGGGTACTGAAGAGCAATGGTGTCACTCTGGAGACTAAGGTGTGTCTGATACAGGCTATGGTCATTGCAATCACTTGTTATGCATCGGAGAGTTGGACAGTGACTAGGGAGGATAGAAGGAGAATTGATGCCTTTGAGCTGTGGTGCTGGAGAAGAGTATTAAATATACGATGGACTGCCAAGAAAACAAACAGATTCATCCTGGAGAGGGTTAAACCAGGCTGTGTCTTGGAGGCAAGGATTCTGGGGATTTGTCTGACATACTTTGGACATGTTGTAAGGAGGGCCAGGTCCTTGGAAAGGGACATCATGCTTGGGAGGGTGGAGGGACAGCGCAAGAGGGGAAGACCCTCTCTTAGGTGGATTGATTCAGTGACTGGGGTAATCAGGATGGGTGTGTTGGAGATACTGCAAATGGCACAGGATAGAGCAGGGTTTAGGGCTTTTGTACATAGGGTCGCTATGAGTCGCAAGCGACTTGACGGCACATAACAACAACACAACAATGAGGTTAAACATTTTCATATTAGGCTGTTATTTGAATTTTTTAATTTAGTATATAAATGTGTCATTGGGCCATACATTATATTTTATGCCACCTGACTATCATAGCAAGTAATTATTAGAATGTACAGAAAATTCTTGCTCAGCATTGGCCTAATAAGCAAAACAAAAGCTTAACCAATTGGATAAAAATAATAATTTACTTTTATCTTCTAAATGACTTTCAATTCTCTTTCTTTTCTGTTTCTCATAGGATAAAATTATCATCCCTTTTATGATTGAATTCTGCCCTGAGTTCTTGATTTGCACTTCAAAATTATGAAGTAAGATAGACAATGCAAACTCCTAGACCTTAACTCCAGAGAGCCCAGAATCTGTGTTTAACAATCTCTCTGTTCCCTATTAAAAGAATGGACCTAGTGCCATTGATCAGCCTGCCCATGTCTGAGAATGATTTGTCTGAAAGTATACTAGCAGTGGTTCCCCGGTACATGGCAGAATTAGAATCGCCACAGCAGGCTCAGGATAGAAGGTTACAATAAATGCATTGCTGTCAAATTCATTCCGACTCACAGCAACCCTATAGGACAGATCATTATGGAAGCAGATCGCCACATTTTGTCTTGAATAGCAATTGGTGGATTTGAACTGCTGACCTTTCTGGTAGCAGCCCACTGCTTAGCCACTAGAAACTGAGGAGAAACCCCACCCTGCAAAGGGTTTATTCACCTTTACACTTAATGAACTGAAAGACATAAAAGAGACTCTACCAGTGAGTTGGTTCTGACTAATAGCAACCTGTAATGAGAGGAGCTGTCCATCTTTCTCCTGCATCCATCCTAGTAAGTATAATTCTAGACAAGTTCTCCATCCACAACAAAACAATATTGCCCTAAGTCTGATAATGACTCATTTCAATTATTTTTAGTTCGGAACATTCTCAAGAGATTTTAAAAACTATATTTTAGTGGCACGGTTCGAATCCACCGGATGCTCTGCTGAAGAAGGAGGAACAATCTCCTCCTGTACCAGTCAGATCTGATTTGACGGTACATGCACACACACAAATAATAAAATAAAAATAAAAGAAAAACAAACTATATTTTATCCACAAACTTTCCAAGTGTCTATATATCGATATAATTGCCAAAGGGAAGGAGACTACTTAGCCTGTTATGGAGTGTTACCAGTGCATGCTACGTGGAAACCGTAGTTAACTCAAGACCAAGTCCAAAGCCACAGTCCTCTTAAAGATGGCACTGATCCCAGGCTGCTTCTCTCCTCTCCTCTAGCCCGTTCTCACAGGAATGTATTACTGCTCTCAGGAATCTTCCAGGTGCTGCTTGATGCCTCTGAGATGGCAGATATCCAATACTGTCTTTTATTCTGATTCATGATTTCTTCTTGTAATAACTTCACTTTATCAAAGTATGGACCAAGCCTGGATGCTCCAGACTGGAAGAGCTGAGTAAACACTGATTGAGTGAGGTGTCTTTCCCCTTTACATATGTATTGTATTTATACTATGTATATGATGGCAGGAGAATTGATACCTTTGAACTGTGGTGCTGGAGAGGAGCATTGAATATATCATGGACTGCTAGCAGAAAAAACAGGTTTGTACTGGAGAGGGTGAACTGAGGTTGCTCTTTGGAGGCAAGGATTCTGAAGCTCCATGTGACATAACTTGGACATGTTGCAAGAAGGGTCCTTGGAGCGAAACATCATGCTTTGGAAGGGTGGAGGGACAGCGCAAGAGAGGAAGACTCTTGGTGAGATGGATTGATTCAGTGACTGGGGTAATGGAGGTAGGTGTGTCAGAAACAATAAGATTAACACAGGATAGAGCAGGGTTTATGGCTGTTGCACATATGGTCGCGATGAGTTGCAGGCAACTCGTGGGCACATAATAACAATAACAAATATAGTATGTGCCACATGTAGATGGTATGTATCGGATGCACAGAGTCCTGTCACACTCAGCATACGCTTCTCCATTCTCCTATAGACACATGTGACTCTCTATGGTTACACAAAGGTTTAAGTTTTAAACTCAAATTCTTACATTTTTTTAATTCCATAACTTTTTCTCCTCTATTTCAGCTACTTCCAACCTAGTTGTTCAAAACTTGAAAAATAGCAATTTCTACCAACTGACTTCAGTAAGTGTCTATACTGTCAATGCCCTAATTCAAGGTTGACCGATTCCAAGCACCTATGAGGGTTAGACACAGAGCCCACAGTGGTAGGAGCTCCCCTACCTCATCCTGTAGCAGGGTCTTACTGTACTCCAGGTGGTGCCTCTCCAGAATGGAAGAGCCATGGAGCCTTGCCAGTGGAGATGCAGATCTAGAAAGAAAGGTCACGTTAACATGGATGCTTAAGGAGACCCGGGGAGGAGCACACGGATAAGCACTTGACTGCTAGTCGAAAGTTTGGTGGTTTGAAGCCACCAGAGAGGCTTCAGAAGACAGACTTTGATCTACTTCTGAAAGGTCATCACTGGCTCAAAAACCTTCTAGAACACTTTTACTCTGTACTCATGGGATCTTTCTGAGTTAGAATTGACCCAAGAGCAAGAGAGAAACACAGCTTCTGATTACACATAAGTCCATGCATTATTTTATATTTACTGTCACAGGAATTTTTTTTCATCCTTAATATTAACTGTAAAGTGATTTAAAAAATATTTCTTTTAAAGGGTTTGTTTTTCTAAGATTTACAAAATAAGAAAATTTTCCTTACAAAAAAAACTCTTGGGAAAAAATGTAGAACAAATTTAAAATTAAAAATAATACTAACAACCCAGACTTACTGGTTTGATAGAGACTGGTGGTTAGCCCTGAAACTGGGGACCTTAGACACCCTTCAAATCTGGAACAGAATCCCCTTGTTTGAGGGTCACCTTTTAACAAACAGTAAATGGTTGTCTCAGAACAATAAACATAGGAGACCAAAAGGGCAGCATTTGTTCCCAAAACAAAGCTCAAAATGCAAGAAAGTTACACATAAAAAGGAAGCATGGAAATGAGAAACCCAGGGAGGAGGTGGGAAGAATGCTGTTACATTGAGGGTATTGTAAGCAACATCACAAAATGCATCTAAGTTACTCACTAGAAAACTAACTTGCTCTGTAAACTTCAACCTAAGTTATAGTAAAGTGTTAAAAATAATCTAATTTACTGAATGCATAAATGAGTGGGTAGTTTAGAGCAGAAAATGTGTCTCATCACCTCCATCTGAAATCTTTACATTTCCTGGACCTTGTATGGACTATCTGGACTTTGATGTAGAGAATGTGTAGCAGAGCTGCTGAACCCATAAATTATTTGCATAAGAAGTGCTAATTTTTTATGACCAAATTATTTTTTGGTTTGACTTTTTCTGACACTACATATTCCCAGTATAGAAGGCATACACAAATCAAGGGGATAATTTTTAGAGGTATGTATGTATTTATATACTTATATGAGACATGCATGTCCCTAGTGAATTATGGACATAAGATTGGTGGGGTGAGGCATGTTTTTTCAGTCACACAGTCACACAGACCCCTTCCTTCCAGGTTTGGTTTCATTCATTCGTTCATTCACACTCCCCACCCCCCAATTCCTCTTGTCATGCTTGTCCTGTTACAGGTTATTAATTGTTATAAACAGATTGTCCTTTCTTTTACCCATTCCAGTACAGTGCCCATTACCTATCCATTCTTTTCCCACTCTCCCCCTTCCCAAATTTGATCCCATTATTACAATAGTGCGTTTATGCAGTACTTGTCCCTTTGTGACCAAGATACTTCACTCAGCATAACGTCTTCCAGACTCATGCATGATGTATAGCATTTTCTAAAAATATTTTAAAAGAAAAGAACAAGTGCAATGGTGTGTAAGGCAAGGACGCATCTGTAAACAGAAGCAAAAAGAAACAGGAGTCCAAGCACCCAGGAGGAAGCCAGGAGTAGTGGTGAAGGGGCAGAACGTGGTCTGTGGGATTACAAAACTTGGCAGAGGAATGGGTTGGGCTAAAGGAGGGGGAGTACAGTTTTCTTCTCCCTAAGGGTTCTTCAAACACCCAGCAGCCCATGTCAGCACTGAAATATGGATTCACTTACTTCATCTGAAACAGGTTATTGGTGCCTCTGTGGTCAATGTCATGGCAGAAAGCAGCAGCGAGCATGGCAAAGGCTTCTAGATCCGTATAGTATTTCTTCAGTCTTCCTGTCTAAATGTATATACATATTTATGAGATGTTCTTGCATCTTTATTTATAATATAGACATTTCTTAATCTAAGAAGGAGTGCACAACCAGGGTGATTGTTAGAGGCAAGGATCCTTTGGGCATGCAGTTTGGGGGAGGCGGTCCTTAAAAAATGACATCAGACTTAGAAAAATGGAGGGTCAGAGAAAGTGGAGGGTCAGCGAAAGAGAAGACTCTCTCTGAGATGGATTGGACAATGACCGTAACCATGGGCCTAAGCATGTTTGCTATCATTAAGGACGAGACAAGACATGGCAAGGTTCCTATCTGTTATTCATAGGGTTGCTGTAAGTCATGGTAGACTTGAGGGCCTCTAACAACAACAACAACAACAGGGATGCTCTAGTGGCCTAGTGGCAAGGAGCTGCACTGCCAACCCAAAGGCACAGTTCAAACCCATCAGCTGTTCTGTGGAAGAAAGATGGGCAATATCCTCCTGTGTGAATTATTTCTTCTGAAAGCTCACTAGAGGGTCAGCCATGGGTTGGTTGCAACTTGATGGTACATAAAAACAACACTAAGTATATTTATACATTTATTCTCTCTCTCTCGATATATATATTAATATATATATGTATATATCGAGAGAGAGAGAGAGAGAGAGACACTTGGCATGACATTACACAACAACTAACATTATTCTATATTTTCTTGAATTATTACACCTGCACACCAAGCACAGGAGCAAGATTTTCTTCTATTTACTCAGGATAAATGAGTTGGAGCCTACAGGACTAACAATAGCACCAAGTTCTTTCTGGTTTGACACCCTACTCCCACCATTGAGAACTTGCCTTTCAGCCTCTCTGACTCATGAGTCATTTTAACAAGAGTTTCCCATGGTTTCTGTGCATACAGTTACTCTTATGAAGGCATTGATGAGTTCTTTAAGAATCATCCAGGAATTCTGTTAAACTATCAATTCGGATTCAATATCTCTGCTGTGGAAAGGTATTCTCAGCATGACATTGAACTGAAATGAACTGTTTGGAAGGACTCAACAACATATCAAGTCCCACAAAGCCTGCCTGCAACAGAGAAGGGAACCCACTGTGGATTTAGAGCAACTGGCCATGATTTCTTTTAAGTATCACAACTTATCCGGGCAAGTACAAAACCCAGCCAGTGACTGGATTTCTCTTTTAAAAGGGAAGTTCAAGAGTGTCAGAGTGCTAAGCCAGCCAAGTTCCCAGGAACACCAACATCATCAGCTCATCTGCACAGGGGCTATGGTTTGTGGATTGTGGCCAGAACTTCCAAAACAGCTAAAATCTAAAACGATGGCTCAGATCCACTTCATACCATGCTTGCGTGGGGATTTTGCAGCTTTGTCACTTAGTCTGCACCTACCAGTGAAGTTCCCGGGTTATTGGAAAGGTTAAGCCCTTGGCTCTTGACTGGTTATAGGAAAGTTGGTGGTTTGAGGCCATTTAGAGGCACCCCGAACAAAAGGCTTAGAAATATACCTCTGGAAGAGCATCCCTTGAAACCTCTATGAAGCACAGTTCTGCTCTGACCCATGGGATCATGTGAGTTGGAATTAACTGCACGGTAACTGGTTTAACTAGTACGTACCATCAGCAAAGTGAACATGGTCTGGCCCACGTTGAATCCGTGCCGCCAGTTGTGGTAAGTCACAGAGCGGTAACCTTTACTCACCGTGTACATCCATCGGGTAAGAACCTGTTAGCAAATGATAATGCCATTCAGACTTCGGAACAGAATTCTTCAGGTGACAAGAGCTGTGACAATCTTATCTAAATGACATGTCCTTCTTGTTTACAGGGTTTCAGCCGATATGTTCACAAAGTTAATAATCATTTGAAAGCCAAACTGAAGTTACTCTTTGGACCACCCTTGTGTGGAGTAAAGCAAGAATATCATATACATTCTTTTAAACTAAGACAAAATCCCATCTGACCTCTACAGGCACTTTGAATTTCTCTACCACATTTATTTCAAAGAAAAGGCGTAGTCCACATTTTATCAACTCGTGCTCTGTAACCGGAAGGTCACTGAAGCGGAATTCGTACAGCTCTGCTGTCATTGGGTCTGGTAAATTCTCTTTCTGTTGAAAAAAGAATGGGCTGTTTCAGATGACATTCATTCCTCCACCAGCACCCCTCCATGTACACACACTACAAACCAGATTATTTTAAAAAATGACAATAAAAGAATTCCATATACAATTGACTGGGCCCCTGTGTGCCTGGCATTGACCATATCATTTACATATGTCATCTTTACAACCAATCTGCTAAATTATCCCCATTTTACGGATGGGGTAACTGAAATTCTGCTTTACAGAAAGACTCACTAAGTGATAGCATTCAAATTTCAGTCAAATGGAATGGTGACATAGCAGTAAGGAACTGTGCTATCAACATTAAGATATGTGGCTTGAATCCACCAGCGGCTCCGAGGGAGAAGTATGGGCAATCTTCTCACATGTAATTTCCTGCCTCATAAAATCCAGTTAGGGTGTCTGTGGGTCAGTTCTGACTCGATGGCGGTTGTTGTTGTTAAGTGCCATCGAGTTGTAGGTGACTCATAGCGACCCTATGAACAAAAGTCCTTGACCCTTGCGTGATTTTCATCCTCTTTCCAGGTTCATAGGGTTTCTGGAGGCAAGCTATTTACACAAGTGGATGTCACTCCTGCTTACAAGCTTGTTTCATCCAGGGAGCGCCACCAAACACTGTCCACCATGGGTAACCATTATCACATTTGATACATCAGTGTCACAGTGTTCAGCTTCACAGCGACCACAAGTTATCTCTGTATGGCAAATGGACACCTGAGACCCAAGAAAGACCCACTCGCCCTTGTCTATCCTCTAGGCGTGGCCATAGATTTCAGTATTTTACCATTCCAGCATGCCCAAATGCTGGCAAACTCTGGGCCAGAGACCCCCCAATTCATCTAGCAAGTCCTTTTTGTGGCCACCCACTTGAAGCAGAAAGAAAGCCACAAACATCCCCGCATTCCCCACCTGCGTTTCTTCCAGGTTCACAAGGCTGCATCTGCCCAGCTGACCCTGAGACCCAAGAGAGACCCCACTCGATGGTACAAAACTAAAACTACATAGAGACAACAGAAACATGGGTTTGCATATATCTGTTTGGACGGCACGCCTGATTTCTTTAGGGTGTATTCCCAGTGGTGAAACTGCTGGGTCAAATGGTATTTCTATTTCTAACTCTTTGAAAAAGTGTCACACCGCCTTCCATAGGGGTTGCACCATTTTACACTCCCACCAGCGGTGAATAAGGGTTCCAATCTCTATAACCTCACCAAGCATTTGTTGTTTGCTGTCCTATTGAACTTTGCCATTATTACTGGGGTGAAATGGTTGTTTTTAATTGTATCTCTCAGAGAGTTATGGATTTTTAACATTTCCTTATGTGTTTGTTTGCCATCTAAATGTCTTCTTTGGTGAACTGCCCATGTCCTGTACCCATTTTGTGACTAGGTTGTTTACCTTTCTCTTGTTGAGGTGCTAAAGTATTCAATAAATTTCAGCTATGAGTCCTTTATTTGCCATGTCATTATCAAATATTTTTTCCCCAGTCTATGGGTTTCCTTTAAACCCTGTTGGAGAAGTTTTTTATGTGCATGGGGATTTGATTCTTAGGAGGTATTTATTCACTATAGCAAAGAGATTAAAACAACCCAAGTGCCCATCAATAAATGAATGAATAGATGGTATAGTCTCACAATGGAATACTATGCAGCATTGGAAAACAAGGAACTCATAAAACATTATACCACATGGGTGACCCCGGAGGACATTATGCTGCATGAAATATCTCTGTCACAAGAAGATAAATACTACACAACGCCACTGTTATAAAATAGAACTGACATGGGAGTTGGGGGAAAAACTGAGAAAAGAGGGGATAAATAATGAACACTGCATTGGAACAGATGAAGGAAAGAACAATTTAAAAGAAATAAATAATTAGGCCTTATTTGTATGACAACAGTCTAAAATAAAAGGTGCATAACAAAATGGACTGGTGTGGGGTGGGGGGAGTAGGAGGAAATTATGCCACAATGAAAAAAAAATATATTTTTTTTTCTTAAGTGAAGGGGTGGGTAGGGAGAAAAATGTGCAACAATGAATAAATGAAAATCCAACTTTTCTGTAAACTTTTGTTAAAAATCATTATCATCATCATCAAGAAACAATAGAAAAAAAGCTGAGCTCCTCCCACTTCCAGAAGAAAAGCTAAAGATGACAGACATTATCCAAAAAGTCAAACAAATTGTCCTTAAGCTGGTTCTGATGGCAATGCTTCCCCAAGTTTCCAAGGCTGTGAATGGTTATGGGAAGAGAACATTCAGCTTTCTCCTGCAGAGGAGCTAACAGCTTCGAACTGCTGATCTTTCTGCTGGCAAGGCAACACACAACACTGTGGTTATGTCTCCTGTGATGGCCGTGCTATAGTTCAAAGCTACAGAGATAAACCAGGCCATGACATCCCTATTGCCTAAATCTTAAAGTTCCTTATACAGTGATCTGATTTAGATGTGATTCTAAATTACCTCTGTGGATTGAACTATTAGGGCCAAGAGAAAGAAAAGCAGGGAAGTAGTATATCAATTTTGGATATACATTTTCCTTCTTTTTAGCTTTAAAAGACCACATTGAAGAAAAAATTCAAACATTTATTTTAAAAAACTGAAACAGCATCTTAATACACTTCATTTAAAAAGCATCAGAGATGGAAAATACTTACCAAAAGTGTGACAAGTTGTTTCTCATCACAGTCTTCAATTACATCTATATTTAATTTCTCTTTAAGTTTCTAAAATGTGAAAGCAATTTAAGTATTAAATTCCTAAGAAGTGAGAAGATTTTTATTTGATTCCTCTACAATTAAAAGCAATTAAAATGATGCTGTGATGAGTCTTGCGACAAAGATGTATTTTGGTGACAAAGAAGATTTAAAGCATCTGACCATGAAAAGCTTTTATAGAATTGATTCCTCTATCTTTCCAAAATTAACAGAAGCTGTGTTTTTAAAAAGAAGCAGCGTGGGTTGTTTATATGTACGTGCTATGGGCTGAATCATGCCCACCTGAAAGTCCTGAGCCTTGCACCTGTAATACGACCTTGGAAATTGAACATGTCTTCAGGGGAGTTAACAGGTTTTACCTGAGTAAGATGAGTCCTAGTCCTTTCTGAGTGATATTTTAGAAAGGGATAAGAGACAAGATACACACACACACACACACACACACACAGAGAGAGAGAGAGAGAATGCAACGGCTGCCAGCAACCGGAAGAGACAAGTCAGGCTCTTCTCCTGAAGCAGCGTCGTGATACAGTCTACTGCTGCCCAGACACTGGGCTTGTAGTCTCCATATCTGTGAGACAATACATTTGTGTTCTTTAAAAAACTATCCACTTCACAATATTTTGTTGCAATAATTCTGAGCCATTGAAACAAAAAGGAGGAAAGGAGGAAAGAAGCAAAGGCAGGAGGAGGAAGAAGAAGAAGAGTAGCTTATATCTGTTTCTCTATTGTTATTGTTAGGTACCAATGAATCAGTTACGACTCATGTGAACAATGGATTGGAACTTTACCTGGTACTATCTTTATGGACTGCTAGGAAAACAAACAGATTCGTCCTGGAAAGGGTTAAACCGGGTGGCAACTTGGAGGCAAGGATTCCGAGGCTCTGTCTAACATACTTTGGACATGTTGTAAGGAGAGACCGGTCCTTGGAGAAAAACATCATGCTTGGGAGGGTAGAGGGACAGTGCAGGAGGGGAAGGCCCTCTATGAGGTAGATTGATTCAGTGACTGGGATAATCGGGATGGGAGTGTCAGAGACAGTGCGATTGGCACAGGACAGAGCAGAGTTTAGGACTGTTATACATAGGGTCCCTATGAGTCACAAACGACTCGACGGCACATAACAACAACAACAACATCCTTATGATCTAAAAAAAAAACAACACAGACAACAACAACAACAAAAAACCACACCAAAAAATAAAACACCAAAACCAAACTCTCTGTTGAGTCCCTGTGTCGGTCCATGGCATTGAAGGTCTTCCTCTCTTTTGCTGACCCTCGGCTTTCCCCAGTATGAGGTCTTTTTCTAAGCACTGGAGGAGCCACTTGACAACATGCCCAAAGTACATAAAGATGAACCTTTACCTCCTTGGCCCTGAGGAGCTCCTGGGTTGCATTTTCTTGAAGGCAAGTTTGTTTGTTCTTCTGGTAGTCGAGGGGGTAGTCATCACTCTTTGCCAATATTACAATTCAAAAGAAATAATTCCTTTAATCCTCCCAGCCATTTCTCCTCAACATCGCAAACTCTCAAATCAACCTTCTCTTTAACCTCCAAACCAACCCCTGAAACCAACTCAACACAACACAATACACCAAACAACAAAACCACACTGACACACACTGTCTAAAAGTTAGGTAAGGACAAGGAACGGAAGGCGTGGGTGGTATATTTCCCTTTATGTTATGATGATTAAAATGAAGCACTCACTCACTCCCTCATCATCCACGAGGTTGATCTTTTGGCCACATGACTTGATTTGACCAATCAGAAGACTTATGAATGTGATATGAACAAAGACTTGAAATATGCAGCCATGGTTAAGCTTGCTCGCCTGTATTTCTCCATCACTATGAGAGCATTAGTCAGGCCCTGCTGGCTTAAGAAGGCTATGAGACACATAGAACAAATCTAGGTCCAATTTAGAACCTGGAGTCAAGCACAACCTAGATCAATAAAGTCTGATCAACCTACTAGTAAATGAGTCAGGATTAAATGCTTATTTTTTTAACCCCACCGGGGCACATTGATACGTAGCACCATTATAGCAATAGCTTCCTGATACATTTCCCTTCCTAAAAGTTCCCCCACCCCCCCAGGCTTTACTGCCCTGGCTTCTATGGGTTCAAGAGCTTTTACAGCAAAGCAGTTTGGAAGACCAATAAGAATGTGTATATGCTGGGCCCTTAGGCTCTCCCACTGGTCTCTGCCTTCTGTGAAGAGGAGCTGAAGTTCCAAACTAAACCCATTGCTTCCCATCTGTCAGACCCCTGGGTAAACAGGTGAGTTCCAGAAACACTCTTTGGATATGGCCTAATGCTTGCAAGACTGAATGCCCCCTTACCAGTATGGACTCCAGTTCCTCAGGAGTGGCCTTGGTATGGTTCATGAGCATTTCCTGAGCAATGTCTTTTCTGTTTTCTAGTTTATTCATCTTCTCATAGGTGTCAGTATTTAAAAGAGACCATCCAAGAAATTGTGTGAGAGTCTGAAATGGATAAAAGGAGCTTCAGATATTCTAAAATTAGCTGCAAAGTGATTTACCTGCAGGCATCCCTATCAGTCAATCCCTTTTCCATTATCAACAACTCCATTACTTGAAATCTGTTGCCTTTCTATAGGCAACTGCCCCCGAGGGTTTCCAAGGCTGGAAATCTTGTGGAAGCAGACAGCCGCACCTTTCTCTCAAAGAGTGGCTGGAAGGTTCAAACCACCAACCTTTGACTAATGGCTGTGTGTTTAACCACCACATTGCGGTCATTGTTGTTGTTAAGTACCATCAAGTTCGAACTAACAGTTGACACATCAGCGGGTTTTCAGTTGACACATGAGTGGGTTCTCAGAGGTAGCTAATCACATGAGTGGAGATTGTTCATCTTTCTTCTGCAGAGCAGCTGGTGGATTCAAACCCAGTACCTTTGGGTTGGCAGCACAACTCCTTACCATTAACCCCCCAGGGCTCTCTTCACTAGGACTGTATCACTAGGACTCTCTTAACACCTCTAGCATGTTTTAATCCAAGAATAAGCATAGTAATACTCAATCCCAGGCAATAAAACTCACTCAGCCTTTGCTTTTCATAGTGGTCTTCTGATTAGGAGCAAGTGATCAACCCGGAGCTTGTAGGCTCCACATTACAAGCTTGCCCCTCACTCCGGACTCAAATCTACTGAACTGGACTCTTCATACTAACAAGCTCTCCAGGTGGTTCCTGTGCACACTGACGTGTGAAGAGCTGGGAGGAAGGCCTCTTCAGGAGCATCTGTTCTGCCTACTGCTGCAACATGAAATCTCACCCTTGGCCGCTAATGTCTTTAAGAGTTGAACTAAAGTCTCCATGTTAATTCTTCTCAGGTGAAGTGAGTCTTGTCAGTCATTTTGACCTTGGTGTGACTATAGAATCCAAAACAGCTTTAGGAAAGGATGAATCACAAGAGATTTGGGAAGTTGGAAGAGCTAGAAAGACAACCTGGGAGGAGAGGAGAATTGTGAAGACTAACCACAGAGCTAACAGCTTCACCTGCTCACATCCGTTGTGAGTTACATAATTAAGCCTTCTGAAAATCATATACCAGTTTTCAGCCCTGGCTCTCAATGATCTCATGTATCAGAGTAGAATTATGTCCCACAGGATTTCCAATAGTTCCGTTTTTAAAAATAGATTACCAGGCCTGTCTACTAAGGTGTTTCAGTGTAGGATTGAACCTAGAACCTTTGGGTTAGCAGCCGAGCACACTAACCATTTGTGTAACCCAGGGACTTCTCTATAAAGCACACTAAGCCTATCTGAAGTTGTTAGGGGTTTTATTCCCCCCTTCACTAGCTAGTGTTATTACACTAATATGGGATGCAGGATTTGGGTTCATATTTGTTCACCACGGACACACACACTTCATTAGATGTAGCTGTTGTTGTTAGATGCCATGGAGTTGATCATGGCTCACAGTGACTCAGCTAGAAGCTGACCCTATCCTGCACCATTCCCACGGTCTCAGCCATGGTCAAACCCATTGCCAATCCATCTCCTTGAGGGTCTTAATTAAAGGAAAAGAATTATCCATATCTGGGGAATTAAAGCAGGAGCTGGGAATTGGGAAGGAGGGGAGTGAGAGCATGAAGGAGAAAAGACAGCAAGAGGGAGGATGGAGAGTTGGAAAGAGATTGAAATATCTCACAGTTTCTTCGTATTCTCAAAGTTTTTTATTAATTAAGTTGAAGTTTTCCACTTTGGTGAGAAGATTGGACTTTCCAGAAGTCAGAAAACAAAAGTGAGAAGAAGACAATATGCTGATTGCAACTATTTCTTCATTGTGCTTCAAAACTATTCTTCCAACAAAAGTCCAGAATAAGAGCTGCATAATAAAGTGATCTGGGCAGGGGAGGACAGGGACCGATTGTATAACAATGAAAGAACTTTTTCCCCCAAAGAAAAAAGTGATCTAGGGGATTGGGGAGCAGGGAGGAAATGTGTATCAATGAAGGATGGGAAACTCAAGTTCTTTATAAACTTTCATTAAAATCTCAGTTAAAAAAAAGAAGAAAAACAAACAAACCCCTACTCTTCCAGAATACAAAATAATCAAGTGTCTATCTACTCTTGTTTCACGCAGGGAGCTCTAGTGGCCTTGCTCATAAAAGGTGCGCCACTCGCCTGAGGGCAGTGCCTCTGGGCAGTTGAGATCCACCAGCTGATCCGCAGGTGAAGGAAGAGCAATCTCCTCCCTTGAGAGTTAAAGCCTCAGAAACCCACTGGAGGATCAGCGATGAGTTGGCTCTGATTGTACGGCGATGAGTCTGGTGGTTTCGTACATTTCATGTATCACCATTATTTTCGTACTGAACTTACCTCTGTAATGTGTTCATCATATTCGTCAAAAGGTTTTCCATCCTTCCTGTTGTAAAATGTAGCCACTCCCACAATATCTTCTTTCTTGTTGACAATAGGTAAGGACAGGACATTTTTAATGACCCAACCAGTTTCATCCACAGGTCCTTTCTGCAAGTAATTATATCACTTAGGTTGGTATTCTTTTTAAAAAACCTTATACATTCCAAAGTTACAGCATTAACTTATAACTACACAGAGAGTTCCTGCTTAGCAGTTACCCATTTTTTTCTCCAGTGATAACATTTTATGTAATATAGTACAGTATTCAAACCACATTAGACAGCTAAGATTAAAAAAATTAACAAAAACGTTTTGAAACAACAAATGTTGGTAAAGCTGTGAGGGAGTTGGATTCCTTTTCATTGCTGGTGGGAATGTAAAATGGCACAGCCTTTGTGGAAAAGAGCACGGTGGTTCCTCAAAAGAACTAACAATAGAGCTGTAATATGATGCAGAAATTCCATTCCTTGCTATAGACCCAAAAGTCTTAACAGCAAAGACTCAGAGAACTGTAGGCCAGTGTTCACTGCAACACTATACACAGTAACTATAAAGTGAAAACAATCTAAATGTCCATCAAGAAAAGAATGAATGAACCAGAAATGGATGATCAAGAAAAGAATGGATGCAGTCTGTACACACATTGAAATATGACTCAGCTAGGAAAAGAAATAAATGGTCTTGATGCATGCTATAAAATGACTGGAACATGAAGAAATTATGCTGAATAAAGTATAGTCAGTTCCAGAAAGAAACATATTTTATAACCTCATTTATATAAAAAAGAGAAGAAAAAGGCAAGAGTGTAGAGACCAAATGATTACCAGAGATGGGAAGGAGAGAGGGAAAAGGCAAGTGATGGTGATTAAGAAATCACATAGATTAAAGGGGTGGTGCACAACCAGTTAACACGGTTACTGTCAGTAACACACCTGTATAAAGCTGACCTGGTAGAAGTTGTGTGATAGACATGTTTACAACAACAACAAAACAAAAAAAGAGCACTGCTGGGGCCACTTACGTCCAATCAAAGATCTAACAGGATTCCATTCTTTTGGTGGTAGTTGGGGATCATGGTTTCATGGGACATAGCAGTTAACTGGCCTAATAATCTGTTTAGCACTTGTATTCTACCTCTGAGTTTATTTCATAGCACCTGGGGTCTTGAAAGCTTGCAGGTAGCTGTTCAAAGTGCAACAATCAATTTCTATTTGTCAAAAACAACATAAGAAGAAGGAAAATAAGGAATAGGAAGAGGATATGAAATGTGTCGCTAATTGCCTCCTTTGCCACGACACCAGAAGTGGATGGTGCCCAACTGCTATTATTATAAAGCATTTTAATCAAAGAGTCTATGGCAGAATTCTTGCACAAAGTGGGGAAATACAGAACAGAATTTCAAATTTGAAGGAATTCCAGACTTTCTGAAGCCAAGGAGGTGGATAAATCCCTGAAACTATTGCCCTAACATGATTTTTAAAGTCATGCAATATTATTCAAAGTGGGTGACCCTGGAGGACATTATGCTGAGTGAAATATCTCAGTCACAAGGGGACAAATACTGCATGGTGCCACTGTTGTAGAATGGGTCTGACATCAGGGTGGGGGTATGACAGAAAAAAAACTGGATAAATTACGTATATTGAAACAGATGAGGGAAAGAACAGATTAGAAGTGATATATGATTGAGTATTATGGTTAGCACAGGAATCCAGAATTAAGGTTGCATAGAGAAGTGTACTCGGGGTGGGGAGTGGGGGGAAGGGACGTGGGAATTGTATACTAATGAAGGAACTTTTTTTCTTTTTTATTTTTTTTTCTCTCTTCGGAGGGGGAAGCGAGCTGGTGGGGAGGAGTGGACAGGGAGAAAATGGAGGCAATGAATGAATGGAAATCCAAAGCCTCTGTAAAAAAAAAACACAAACATACATACATAATAAAAAAGACAAAAAAAAGGAAAAAAGTTTGAATTAAAAATATCTCCTGCAGTTTTTGGATGGTTGGTTTGTTCTTTAGGTTAAGCTATTTCATTTTTAAAAAATATTTATTTTATATTGGTTTGGGAACAAAGTTCATATACATTGTATTTCACATTATTCTTCATCCACATTGCACTTTATTTAATCACCCCAATTCATTATTAATCAATTGCTTGTCATACATCTGAGAGTGGGACAGTAACTAGGGATGACAAAAGAAGAACTGATTCCTTTGAGTTGTGGTTTGGAGAAGAGTATGAAACATACCATGGACTGTCAAGAGAACAAACAGGTCTGCCCTGGAGAAAGAGAAACAAAGGTGCTCCTTGGAAGCAAGGACTGTGGACATATGCTCTTTGTAAATCTCCTATAAGTAGTTATCCATATAGGGTCTAAGTTTAATAGCAAATTGAGAGACTAGATAAAAAGACTAGACCTTAAAGAACATTGAGTTTATGTTAATGAGTGAGCAACAATCCAGAAAAGGAGGGTGAGAATGGTCGCACAACTGGAAGAATGTTGTCAATGTCACTGAACTGTACATGTATAAATGGTTGAATTAGTGTGCATTTTGCTACACATATTTATAATGACAGAAGCTCTGGTGGTTTAAAGCTTTGTGCTGCCAATCCAAAGACAGGTGGTTCCAATTTCTCCCTGCCCTGAGGGAGAAAGATAGGCAATCTCCTCCTGTGTGATTTACAGCTTCTGAAAACCCACTGGAGGGGCGGCTAAGAGTCATTTCTTACTTGACAGCACAAAACAACAACATTCTCAATGACGACAAAACCATTTTTAAAAATTACAACTAGGATATTGACATTGGTATAATCTACAGAGTTTAGTAAGATTTTATCAGTTTTACATGTTCTTGGGAAATCAAACGATATATTGCATCAGACAAGCCTGCAAAAGATCCTTTAAAGGTTTAAAAAGCAAAACTATTGACAATTTCCTCCTGTACCAGTCAGAACTGATTTGACGGTACACACGCACAAAAATAATAAAATAAAAATACCAAAAAAAAAAGCAAAACTATCACTTTGATGACCAACGTGCCCCTGACAAAATTGTGATCTTTTCAATTGCCTTATATGCATATGAAACCTGGCCAAAGAAAAAGGAAGACAGAAGAATCCATGCATTCAAATTGGAATGTTTGCAAAGCACATTGAAGAGACTGTGGACTGCCAGCAACCCATTGCCATGGAGATGATTCTGACTCATAACGACCCTATAGAGATTGCCAGAGGAAGGAACTGATCTGAGAAAAAATACAACTACATCACTCCTTAGAAACAGAGATGGTGAGCTGTCAGGGGGCATCAACCACTAGATAAAGAAAGACATCAAATAAGGGATGTCTCTCCCTTGAAAACAAGGGAAGCCCTTAATGAGACTGACTGACATGGAAGCCAAGACAATGGAGCAGATTCTGGGGGGCAGAGAGAAAAGTGCAATATGTCAATGATCATGAAGATTTTGCTGGGCCCAGCTGTTTGTTACAGATAAGATCATGTGAGTTGGAGGTAACAACAACAGCCTATGCTTATGACTAGAAAGCATTTGAATTTCTAGAAAAATGTATCATGTATGTAAAGTGTGTGCAGCCACCACTAGAATAAAAATACACAATTATTTTATCACACAAGGTTCCTTCATTGTACCTCTCTATAACCACCACCGCTACTTGGGTTGCTCTTACTTGAATTGAAGAAAGCACTCTTTTGGCTCCTAAGATGTACAGCTCTCACTCTGTCAGCAGATCATAGCTAGGACCCTACAACCATATTGCTGCAGCCTATCCAACCACGTGTGCTTGAACCAAGAATGTAAGCTCTGGCAGTCAGAACTTCTCTTTATTCCCCTAGTTGGAGGGGTGAGGACTGCTCCCTGTAATTCTTATCTTTGTGTTAACTCAGTGTCCCCTGCCAAGGCCATCACTAAGAGGATTCTGGAGACTGACCACCCACCCCCCAACATTGTCAGAAGGAGTGACACCAACATCTCCCCAGGGTCTGTGAAAGTGGTGGCTGCAGGTAGACTGGAACTCTAGGAAGAGTGATCGTCAAGGCAATGTAGTCAGTAGGCTTGGAGTCACCTGCCACTCAGTGCAGAGCAAGGGTGCAGGCAGGTATGTGGTTCCACCATGGAGCAGGGAAGAGGGTCTCTGCCTTGGCCAACAGTAGAATGGAGAAGCCAAGGGGAGCCTAAGGGAGGGGGGATGGGAGGGATGAGGCCTCTTAACACAGCCCTTGACCCTGTGTGGGAGCAGGGTCAGGCTGGAGGTTCTATCCATTGGGTACAGAGTACTCACCAGCTAGCCTGCCTACACAAGGGTGGGATATGTGGTACCGTGATTTTCCGCATTGAGTGACACCAGTCCTGTGACACCACTGTTCCATATATTTCCTGTCTCCCAGCACTTCCCGAACTGTTTTCTGGCACTACATTTTCTGTGGAAAGAAAGGCTGTGGTTTCTGTTTTCCTGATGGATCCACTCTGACAGCCTGTGTGCGATGGTGCGTACACCAGCAAACATAGGACAAAACCCTGATTTCTCTGAGGGAATGAGGCTGGGGGCTGGAGATGCAAAGAGTGAATAAATCGCAGGCCCTAATCTCATGATGTTTAAGGTTTTAACTGGGGGATGCAGACACAAAAGGTTCAGAGTGTTCCTCAAAATGTGGCCTGAGCACCACCTGCAATAATGCAACAGATTTTTTGAGCTTGTTTTATAATAATCTGTGGGCAGTAGGGGAGGAATGTACATCTTAAATAAGTTCTCCAGGTGATTCTAATGCCCTATGACGTCTGGGAACCAGGGAGCAGCATCTGCAGAGCGTGTAGCTAAGACATAATTAGCCACTTGACAGACCACAGTGTTTGGTCTGGCCTTCTGCCTCTCCCAGATGGTTCAGTCATCTTTAGAAGCCCAGGTTGCCTCACCTTCTCCAGGAAGCCTTCAACTCATATGAATGTTTTCCCCCAGAATTCCAGCAGCACTTACTACCCAGACCACACAAGTTAGATTTAGATGTTTCTAAATGTCTCAGAATATTTTGTACCTGAAGGTTACTTTCTAAACTTAATAAAGAAGTTTCAAATTCCACGTAACTTCTGAGATAGGGCTGGGCATATTATACCAACTCAGAGATATTGGGTTGATTCTAATTCATAGCAACCCTTTTGGACAGAGTTGGACCACCTCATGGTTCCAAGGCTTATGACTAGGACATCTTTCTCCCACTGAATGGCTGGTAGACTTTAATAGCTGACCTTCTGGATAACAACCAAAAGTAGCTTTTTACAGTGTTTCCAGCACCCTTTGGACACACAACAGATGTTCCACAAACAAGGATCTGTTAATTGAAAGTCTAGTCCTTATGCTTAGAATGAAAAGCAGAAAAACAAAATCTCAGTGGTATTGTTCATTACATGGTGTGCTATTAACTAAAAAGTCAGCAGTTCAAATCCACCAGCTGTTACTCAGGAGAAAGAGAGGCAGTCTTGTCTAATACTGTCTCTATAATAAAAATATAAAGACTCAGAAAGCTGATAGAAGTTTCCTATGGGTTGGGATAAATTCAGCTACAGTGGAGATGGTTAAGCAGGGTCCCTGGCTGGTGCAAACAACATCCTTGATTACTAACCCATCCAGAAGTACTGTGACCCTCTTTTGAAAAATCAGCCATAGAGGATTCTATGGATCATGGCTTTACCCTGACACAATGGAGAACCCTTGGCAACTGGTTTCTGTTAAGGGTCAAAGGTTAGGAAAAGATAAGTGCACACTATTGTTGCTATAACATTTAGTTAATTCTAAACACAATAGCATTAGGTGCAACAGATCAACACGACCTTGCCTGATCCTGAAGCCTCCTCACCACCTCCTCTGTGTTTCAGCCTCTTGTTAGTCACTATGTCAATTTATTTCATTAAGGGTTTTTCTCCTCGTTTGCTGCTCTCTACTTCCAATCATGATGTCCTCCAGGGTTGGTACCTCCAGATAGCACGCCTGAAGTATGTGAGGTGATGTTTATTCTTCTTTTTAAGGAGCACACTGCCCATTCAGGGCACATTGGTTTTGTTGTTGTTGTATGCTGTCAAGTCAGAATTGACTCATAGCTCACCCTCCAGCAGCTCAGAGAAAATAAATCTCACAGGAGGAGATTGCCCATCTTTCTCCCATAGAGCGTTTGGTGAATTTGAACCCTGATCTTTGTGATTGCAACGTGGTTTCTTACCACTAGGCCTCCAGAGCTCCTTCATGCAGTGCATAGTGGTTCTCAAAGGCATTTAGTAGAAGGCTTGGTCATCACTGGAAATACTTGAAAACAGTTATGTATTTAATACCATCAAATAGACTAGAGACAGAAGCAACAGCAGACACTAGATTATAATACACCTGTGCCGAAGGGAAAAGTATGCATGTAAAGTTTAGCAGGCTTCAAAATCAGCTTTCCTGATTACTCAGTTCTTCTGAAAGTTCTCACTTGCTATCTGTTTATATATTTTGCCATTAGCTAGAGCCTGTTGTAAGGTGAATTATAAGTGTTTATGAGTTAAAAATTAAAACAGAGAAAATCTCTACCTTTTTTGTTTTCATATGAATTCTCCCCCCCCCCATTGATGTTAAAAGAAAACTGACCTCTAGATTAACTTCAAGTGATGCTCTAATGGATAGATTAATGCCCTTCAAAGACATCCTCATCCTAATTCCTGGGACCTGTGAACATCTTTCTTTATACAGCGAAGGAGAATCAAAGCAGTAGATGGAATTAAAGTTGCTAATTAGTTAACCTTAAGTTAGATACTGGATCATCCAGGAGGTTCAAAGTTATTACAATAGTCCTTACAGGCAGAAAAGACAGAGTCAGAACCAGAGAAAGAGAGAAACAACACAGAAGCAAGATCAGAGGAAGGAGGGGTTTTGCTTTGAAAATGAAGAGGTCAGGAGTCAGAGAATGTGGGAGGCTTCTGGAACCTCGAAAAGAAAGGGACATGGCATGGATTCTTGTCTATAGTTTTTGGAGAGGAACGTGGCTCTCCTGAAACCTTGACATTATCCCAGAGATACTTACTGGTTTTGGTAGATCTGAGAGAAAATTTCTGACACAGAAATTAGGAGACAATAAATATGTTGTGGTAAGACTCCAAACTTGCAGCCATTACTGGAGCAATAGGAAACTAATACAAGCACCATGTTCCCAAGAAATGTGGTTGAGAACTGTATTATTTGCACGTTTGATCCCTTCAACAGTAGCTTATTCTGGCTTATTGGCTTCTCCATTAAACTCAACAGGTGAAAAAAGTTGTGAGACCCAAGGTGGGGATGAACAGGTGGAGAGACAGAAGGTAGGGCCCAGAACAAGAGGGTGAGCTGGAGAGAAAGCCATTTCACCTGTAACTTGATGGAATGACACGCAGGACCATGTCTGTGAAGCGCTGGGGGAAGAGAGTGCAACCGTGATGCAGGGTGAGAAGAAATGGAAGGCAGGACTGCGGGGTGGAAGCGGTACAGTTCTGAAGCGTTCACAGCTCCACTTGGGAGGGTCAACAGCTTGCTCAGAGGTGGTCAGTCTCATGGGAGGACACCTACGAGGGTCAAAGTTGACTTCAGAGGCGGCGGGGAGTCTTCAGGTATGGAATTGCCTCAGGGTCCCTGCTGTGTCTTGGGAGCAGGGCTTCAGAGTGGGTTTCAGAGCATTGCAATCCCTGGACAGATGTCCTTCTCATGGATGAAGATCTGAGAAGGGCATTGGCATGAACAGTGAACACACTGATGCTTCCTGGACAGCTGAGAAACCTCTACAAACTGGACATTTATCCCACAGTCGAGATACCCTGAGGCCTTTGACCTCTTCTCTGTTGACAGGGTAGCTCTAATGAAAGTGGGATACCCCTAACCTAACCTAGGAGAGCAGTCTGGGCTTCTGGGCTAGCTCCATTCTCATTTTAAACAACAGCGGCTTCAGGAGAGGATCCTTGATGGATTTAGCCACTAGAGAGAGATCCCAAAACTCCAGTAAGATTTTCCCCTTGAAAACAGGATAGTTAGAGTAAGCTATAGGGAACTTTTGCTGAGAAAACCACCAAAAGGGCTGACTTCAGGATACAGGATGCACCCAAGGAGCACTCACTGTTTTAGCCACTAGATGATCAGCGACAGAAGAGAATTGAGAAGTGGTGCCCATGCCAGAGTGACAAACGCCGTATCTCCCTCTATCTTCTCCCCCCTCCTTTCCTCATTCCACAGCTTCTCCCTTCCCTGAAGAATCTGCCACATGGTGGCTGCTGGTCCAGCTGGTAAGAGTGGGTCCTGAGCACGTTCATAGTTACCTGAAATGTGAAGTATTCATCCTCGGGAGCATTCATCATGTTACAGATCTGCAAAGCAAGAGGAGACAGAAGTCCTTCAGAAGCAACTCGTGCAGGAGCCAGTAAACCCACCAACAGGCGAAGGGAGAACCCCAGAGAGGTTCTCTCATGTCTACTGACTGCTCACTGGAAAATTCTTCATCCTAAACCTTAGTTAGCAGGGTTTGCTGACCACTCATTGACATTCATGCCTCTTCTGCTCATTGGGTCATTTGGGTACCATTTAGCAGAAACAGCACTGTAATCCCAACGGTGTGCCGTTAGAATCCACGGCTCCTCCATGAGAGAACAATGGGCCATCTCCCCTTGCACAATTTACTGCCTCTGAAAACCCACTGGAGGCTCAGTTACTGGTCCATTCTGACTCAATGGTACACAACAACGACTCTTCCCTACTCTCCCAGCCTCCGAGGGTTCCCCTTCCAAAGTCAAAGCAGTTAGCTATCCAGACCAAGGAAGGGAGCAGGCTGAATAGAAAGACAACTTTGCTGGAACCCCCTAGACCGTGGCCTTCAAGTTTGGAACGGAATTCACCCTTGTAGCTCAACTTGCAGTCAAACTACAGACTGACCTATACAGAGAACAATGACACCCAGGGAGGCACGTACACCTTCAAACAACAACAATATGAAGTCTGAAGGGGCAACACTTGCCCACAGATAAAGCTCAGCAGGCAAGATGAGACAGGAAAGAAGGATCAAGTAAACACAAGGAGGAAGGAGAAGAGTGCTGAAGCATTGTGTGGACTGCAGTCAACAGTGTGAAATAAAATGTGCGTGAATTATTGAATGGAAAGTATTTGTTCCCGTAAACTTTCAACAACACCAGAGGGAGAGGGAGAGGGAGAGGAGGAGGG